GCCCTTTATTACATAACAAACAGATTTAATCTGCAGTTACAATTCTCTATAAACCTTGGCAATATCTTAGAATTCACTTTTTATAAACTGTATGTAAGATAATCTGCATGTCTTAATAAGGTGTGTGAACCAAAGTCCTGTGAACTGGAACTTTGTGATCTTTCCACTAAGCCACTGAACTTTGGATCCTGCCTATGCGTTTTCCTGGAGGATTGCTCAGAGCACATTTAGCTACTTTATGACTTAGGTTACTGTCACTGGGGGCAAGGTTACTGTCACCGGGGGCAAGGTTAGTCACCACCTTTGATTTAACTGAGTACAGAAAAGGGAAAGTTAGATCTTTATTACTTACCTGACACCTTGTTCTCAGGTAAATTTTATGAGTTGAAACCCTTGATTTTGCCAGAGGATTCAGTGCCTGGGTGTATTACTAGCTCTCCACATTTGTAGCATCAGGCAGTTATTCTGATCAGAAACTAAATAGAAGGATCTAGAATTAAGATTTATGGCAGGTGTTTTCACCTAACCATATAACTCCTCTATTAAGTAATATCTCATGCTGATAGATTTTGGCTTATTATGTTTTTAACACATTGTTAATTAAAACTGTGTCTGCAAGAGCTGGCTGGACAGACAACCATTTATTTCACCATACTTTAAAATGTTTTTCTTTGTTATGTCTTCAGGCTCCAAAGAGGAGATCTGAACACTTCTTTCTGGATTGAAATTCTAACAGTCTCCATCCATATTAATTTATAAATTACTGACATACCTATGAATCCAATTATTCATTCTTACCAGTGCACAGTCCTCCTGTGACAGGAATCTTAGACATAGGCTCCCACACAATGGAGAAATCTGTTGTTGTTCCCAGTTTAAATATAACTGAACAGAGACAAAAGATCATGATGCCAACTATCTCTCCTTTTGTTCTGTGGGATAATGCAGCAGTGCTCGATCTTTCTCAAGGAGCAAGTGACACCTTAACAAAGAAACTGTTTCTCATGGAACATTTCACATATGCTTCATATTTGGAACGACCAATAGGGAACACAGCAACTGGCTGAGGTGCAAAGTAATGGTAGGAGTATATTCAAAAAAGATCTGATGCTATCAGCTGCAAAACAGGAGATACGGTACAATATGAACAATAGGTCATGGTTTGCTTTCATTGCTATAGAGGATCCCCAAAATTGACAGACAGAACACAAAGACTCATTGGTTATTTTGCTTGTAATTCTTTATACTCAGAGGATGCTTCATTGCAGCTCAGGCAATGGTCAGCCCCTTGAAATTTTAAGATGTCTGGGGGAGCTGCACGAAGGATGTTTATGTTTCTGCCTTGCAGTCTTAATGCCTCCAGTGAAGCTATAATATTGTTTTATGGCACCATCCCCTTTAATAAAGTAGTTCCTTTTTGCCAGGGATGTCAATTTAATGTATTTTTAGAAAATGCAGACAGATGTACAGAAGGCTGGACCATTGTGCCCTAAATTTCCTTACATCATTAGAGAAAGATACAAGAGGTTTTTTTCAAATAAGGAAACCACAAAGAGAATGTTAAGAGGCAAAAAGCATGACAAGAGTTCATTACAAAGCCATAATGCATTTATAGTGTTTTCACTAAGACTGCATTTTCCGGGATATTTTATAAGAGGGAGAAAGGAAGCAGAGGGGAGAAAATACCTCAAATAATCCACAGAGGACTCACAAAGAGGCAAAGAGGAGGGAGAGCTTAAATGAAATGGTTCACAGGTGACTCCAAAGAAGTGGTTACAAAACCAAAGTTAACTCGCCGAATTCATGTTGCTGCTGACAGAGTGAAAGGTCAGTAGCTCTGTGTTTTACATGAAAGCTCCACAGTAACAAAAGCACAGATCCTTAGCTCAGCTACACAAAGACTGTTAAAGTTTTAATTGGAAGCCTTTGTTATTAGAAACTTAAGTTACAGTATCATTTATAAGTATTTATATTTATAAGTATTATTTCCGTGGAAAGGAAATATGTTTTCTTTTTGTATATATACGTGCTTTTCCCTCCAGTGAATGTGTGTTTCCCTCTACAATGCCCTGTGATCTATTTATTTGCCATCAGCTCTCAGTGTTAGGCTGTCTTTCAGCCCCCATTAATCTGGCTGTGGTTTGTAGTTATAATAAATGGAAACTCACAGACCTTGGTGTCATCCACCTCAGATAACATGATCCTATTAAATCTAATCCAAATTACTGGATGAGAACCCTTTGCCCTTGATACTTATATGGACAAGAGAGAGATTTGACACTAACAATACCAATATGGTTTAGCCTAGAGAGGAAATTTGCTGTCCTTCTGTAATTGATTTAGGATTCAGATGAGCTCTTTAACACACTGTTAAAGAGTGTGGGATTTTTAGCCATGCATCCCCAGTGCATTGAACACAATATTTGATCTTTTTCCATTAAATTTTTCAAAACCTTCATGAGTTACAAACCATATAGCAAAAATTTGCCAACAGACACTAACATAGGCATTTCTTTGGTTATTACTTCTAATTTTAAGCTGAATGAAGCAAAATGCAAACTGTATTACCTCTGCACCCTTGAAAACAAGCAATGAGTAATAATGCAAGCTCAGAAAGGATGACTGGAACTGTGTTTTTTTAACCATTGAAAATATTAGTTTTAATTACAGGCTTGAATAACGAATAGCATAATGACTATAGAATAAAATGTCACAGGGAAAGCCTCTCTTGTGGGAGTATTTTATTTTAACATGGGAATTGATAGATTTGGGAGTCCACCTGAAATGCTATAACGAAAGGAGGCAAATAATTTATGGAAGTTATTGTCAAATGGCAACACTGATGATGAAAGCCTTGGAACTACTACTTCTAACAATTAAAAAAACCCATGACACAGTGTTTACCTAAGACTAACATTGCTATTCATTCGTATAATACTATTCTCATCACACTTTATTTTAATATAAAATTTAGTCACTCTGGTCTGCTATAAAATGTATTGGGAGAATTGTTTATTTTGCCTTTAACAAGGATCTTTCCTGGTGAACCTGAAGAGGAGAAATCTTTACAATTGAAATTATGTTTACCATTCGTGACTGAAATACCTGAAAATTCAGGCTCTTGTTTACCAGAAGTTGTTTCCCATGTAAAAAAAAAAAATCAGAATATTCTAAGCACAGAACAGAAAACACATGAAATTCAGTTCACTGTCCACATGGATTTCCTCAGTAATAAAAAGTCTTCATCAACTGAAACAGGACAGCTTCTTTCCTCATGTAAAGATCATCCACTAGCTCTTCAGGATCAAAAAGCTTTTTACTAAGTGTTCATCAGCCTGATATAGATTTGTCTATGTTAAAGTACAAAACCTGAAAATCTAGTTGGCTTTTACTGGTTATCCCAACAATGTGTGACAGCAATACAATGTGTGGAAGCAATATAACTGAAAAAAAACATGGGGGAAAAAAAACTACCACAAAGAACCTTAAAACCAAAGAGACTTTCTTAATTCCTTCTTATGCATTAGTATTGTATTGGAACTAATACCTACTGATCATTGTATCTTACATTTACTTAAGTCTTTATACATTTTTTATTTCTTCTTGTCAGCATTAAAACCACTTCTGATAAAATCAGATGGAAGGGAATCGAAATCCAGGACTGGCTCCAGAGTGTGATGCAAAAATCTTTGCCATGATTGCTTTTTGTGAGGGGGGAAGGGAAGGAGGAAAGGCTTTTTTGTGATTAGAGAAAATCTGCTTCAGAGAGCAGAGAGCAGTCTGCAGAGAGCAGTCTGATGGGCATGAGATGTGGAAACTTTTAATGTCAACTGAGGCCAGTAAATCAATTGGGTATTTCCACAGTTTTGGTCACATGAGTATTTCGGAATCTACTTCAAAGGTAGGGAGCTTTACAAGTGGAGATGATTCAGTTGTTGCTATCCAAAAAGGTGATTTCCAAACCCCACCACCTTTAGGCCAATGGCTATATCTGTCCCATGCGGCAGGTTGCCGTACAGGAGAATATGTTTCTGCAGAGCATCTCCAGAGAGAGAGAAGGCTCTGCCATTACATGCCAATCCTCTGCTCCCTCAGAGGCCTCAACCCTGGCATGCTTTCACCATTCCTTCCAGAACTAGCTTCCCAGCTGAGAAACCTCTGCATGGAGAGAGATTTGCCTGTAAAAGAGTTGCCATAAAAGAGAAAGCAACACAAGATTTGGTGTGAACAGCTTTCTGAAACTTTTGCTGCCCTGAGAAGCTGCAAAAATTTGACAAGGGATTAATGACCAAAGCCATAAGGCCGTGTATCTGGCATCTTCTATTTATCCAGCCTGCACCTCATTTCACACAGTCTAAGGACACACTGCTGCACCTTAAGCAAGAAGACAGTTGAAAGTAGGAGCACTAGGTGGGAAGGAAGATTTGTTTGCATGCCTGTCAACATCAAGGACCAGCCTTAGAAAAGGTTTTCATTAAAAAAAAAAAAAAAAGATTGGCATCAGGGCATTGGGGAAAAAAAATTAACTATCAAAATGCTGATTCTGAATGACAGTGGAAGAAGCCATGTCAAGTCTATTCAGTCCAGCCCTCTACTCAGGAGAATAAAGCAAACTGTGTTCCGTGCCCTCCACCGTGGGTCACAATCAGGTACAAAGTAAAGATCTGAATGTCAAAGAAAACAGTTTTGCTGGTTTAGTCCTGTAATTCATGCTACATAATTGTAGCAGGTGCAGCTGCAATTCTTGATATAACTTGTCTTCATTTTATTAGGAAAAAAAAAAAAAGTGCCTATGGAGGAGACTTTCTGGCTCTGAGGATTGCAAAAAATGACTCTCTGAGATTTTTAGATAACCAAATTGAAATAAGCAGAGATGAGGGATACCTGCTTATTCAGGCAAACCAGCTTCTGAAAGCTACCGAAACATTTGGATAAAGCCAGCAGGATTTAGCAGACTGTAAAAAGCACAAAAAACCCCACCAGGTTGAAAAAAAAAATAAGAAACTGGACGGTTTTAGGAACATTCTGCATTTATTTGGCCCCACAATTCCTAATATTGTAACAAACTCCCAGAGTTTCACTCCTTAAAGTGCTTCAAACTCCATTTATATTATTATTATTACTTTTAACATTAATGTACATTTCTATATAAACAACAATTCAAAGAGATTTATATTTTTATAAAATTCTTTATATTAATGGATCAAATTTGCTCTCAAGGTGACCAACATTAAGGCAAATTTCCAAAATTAAGGCACTGGAGTTGCACAAGTTTATGCTGCTATGGATGAGAGCAGAATTTGGCCCGGTAGGGTATATACAATTATGTTTTCTGCATATATTTCAAAAGGCGCAACAGATTACCTTGGAAATCAATAACATTTAAAAGGGAGTTTATCAAAGCAAATACTTTTCATTTGCTTTGGCACAGTTCACATCCAGAGGATGCATTTGCTCACTGGCTGTTCAGAATAACCAGCCTGATGACTGGTGGTGTTCAGCAAAAAGGGAATTCACACCACCAGACACCATTCACACTTCATCAGACACCACCTGATGTGTGTACAACAACCATAACAGCAGTTACTTTGCTGGGCACCCATGCAAATTCACTACACCATGAATCTCTGAAATTCTCCTGGTGGAGACATGTTTGTCATTGATGTTAATACTCCGAAGGCAGCCAAAAAATGGGTCTTTAACTGGAAGCCACGGGGTGTCCAAATTTGCTACAAAAACCAAGGTAGAAAGACCAAGTTAATAAAATGAAAATTATTTTAAAGAACATTAATTATTGTAAGGCTTTCAAAAGAGGGGGAATGATATAGGACTACATGCATCGACTGGACCTTTGTTTTAGAAAGAAAAAAAAGCCAGTAGATACACCCAAAAAAAAAAAAAAGCAATAATATTACCTGGAATTTTGCCAAAGTAGAGTGGCTGATACACACGTCTAGGAGGAGAGGGTTGAAGTCCAGTGGTAGAGCTACTCTCTGTGCCCACCTCTAGCTGCACAGTGTTCTCCTTCTGAGAGACTGCAAAGGAGCAGGTAAATGAGAACTCTTTCTCAACCCTATTAATGAATCAACTAGATATGGCACTATTTTAAAACAGCATCTCTCTTGAAATTTAACTCATAGGAAAAACAGGTTTTAATTCAAAGTCAGGCTGACACACCTAAGTAGTCTGGGGTTAAGAGAGCCCTCCAAAAATCTTATGTAAAGCCTTGAATGAACACAAGACACTTACATTGTTCTAAAGAGTATTCTCAGAATAAACAGAAGTGAAATGATTGATAAAATCTGGAGCGGCAGTGCTCTGTGCCCACTATCTCTTCAAAGGTTCAGAAGAACTGGTATGTACAATGTACCTGCAATGGTATGCCACTGTCCATCAGACAGAGGTTTCTTAGGTGTGACTGATGTCTGGAATTCTCCAGCACCACTATTTCCAGCCGCAATGACCTGTAAAAAAGTTATCTTTTAAGCTACTGTGAAAAAGAAAAGGAGCAACACAAAAAGGTCAGAATTCTCCCTGCTGAATGAGGGAAATACAGCTGAAGTGGAAACAGTCTGTACTTACCTTTCCTCCTTCCATGTAAACAGTCAAGTAGTTGTCTTGCTTGCTTCCGGCATGGAGGAGTATACCTGTTGAACTCCTTGGTCGAATGGTAAACACAATCCTAAAATCCAAGCCCATCAGCAAATTACCTGTGGAGAAATAAACAGTGGGTAGAGGAATGATCATAGGAGGACGGAATTGGAAAATCACATAAAAATAAATAAAATAACCCGTACCATACACACTTCAGACATAATTCTAGATACCATAATCTCTAGAGAGCTTACCAATGGCGATATATCCTCCTTCATTAAAGAAATAAATCCCCGTGTCCATTGGAACATCCAGACATGGAAGTACGCCGTTTTTTTGCAGAGGTGCATTCATAACTTCTCCATTCACCTTAAAATTCCTCAGGCAACCCTTGAAACTCTTCATTGGTATATTCTGAAAGCATATTTCAAAACATGAATACTAAAGCATTATGGTAATTTTTTAGTAATAATATTAAACATTAGTTCTTTTGGACTCTTGGACTATAGAAAGCCAACTGGCACTAAAGGCACCTAAAACCCACCTTTGATACAGTGAAAAGATATTCAAAAGTCTAAGAAAAGAGCTTAAAACACAAAAGTAACAGTTGATTTTGAATTTACATAACTCCTGCTTGTCAAAAAGACAATGCAACAGGAACTGTGAAATCCCAAATATCCCCTTCCCTTCCTAAGAGTCTTATATCTGATTTTATAAAATACCCCGGATCATTAATTGTCCCATTTTTAAATAGAAACCACATATATTTCAGATTAAAATACAGTTCTACATCCATAATTCCTTAATGAGAATTAGCTTAATTTGCTCTTTTGCTTCTCTACAGATTATTGGTTATTCCACTGAGGTAAATATTCTGCCGAAAGATGGTATTTGTGGAATTAAAAATGTGACTTTGGTCTTCTCCATTTTTAAAGAATAAAAATGAAAACAGTACATGGTTGTCATCAGTGTCTCAGCAACACACGTTGAAAATATGGGTCCAGATGAAGGCTGTGTGAATAGGTGAGGAAAAAGATCTGTAATGCACAACTGCAAAACACCAGTCACAGATGGTAATCACCTGGTGCTTGGAAATACCCCCCAAAGCTCTTCAGCACAGAAATCCTGCATATTAAACACTTTCACATGTAATTAGTGCAGCATGGGGAGTGTGTGTGGGTGGATGTGTCAATTATTTACCTGTTTTTTCAGTGATGGCAGCCCTCCCACGTAGATTGGTGGCTTAATGCTGATGGCAGAATTTGTTGCTAATCTTCTGTGCTGTGCCCTTAGACCATCAACCACAAGGCGGACATTCTTCCCATCTGTGCTGAAGACCACCTTTCCAGGGTGCAAACATAACAGAATGAAAAACCCAAAGGCCAATGAAAGACACTGGAGATTTTCTCTGTCTTTAAATTAGACACCACATTGTTAAAAAACTTAAACTGAAAATAACTTGCTGGAATTATCAGTCTCAATAAGCTCTCTCAGAGACCTGTCAACCACATGAACTTTCAGGCATAGGAATTAACTTCTGATGACCAAAACCGAGTTTCTAATATCTTAAAAATTCAATAAGCTGTGCCTGCTGAATGCTAGTTGTGCTTTCACCACAGTTCCTGTGCCATACTACTTACAGTGTGCCATTGCCCATCATTGTATTTAATACTGGTTTTGATTTTGATTTGTTTTCCTCCAGAGCCAAGTGAGAAGACAAAACGTCCTTTTGAAATGCGGAGAGCCACATAAGAGTCCTCAGACCTTTCCTCCATGAAGACTATTAATCCTCTTGATGATCGAGTCTGTACATCTACAGAACAATGTAACCTGTAGTGGAAAGTAAGCATATTCAAGTACAGGGCTATTTTGTTAGTTGTCGTATTCTCTCTGTTCTCCAGAAAAATGTCAGTGAAATTCCCATTTGTGAAATGCAGAATGGCATTTGGGTGGGTGGAATCATGGCATTCTACACTGCCTGCATTTCTGAATGCGAATGAAACGACACATTCAGGCTTAGGAATTGGCATCAACATGTACTGTAATTGTCTACTACATCCCATTCAATCTACTCGGTTTAGGTAAATGTTTGCATAGAAAAAAAACACGCCTGAACCTTTAGAAGCACTCTTTTGTTATGGCACAAGACATAAGCAAGAAGAAAATCCCAACACTTGGCACCCAAAGGTTCAAGCAGCTTTGACAATTCAAGTATTAGGAGAACTGAGAACATTTGTATTACCTGTCTGTAGATAACAATGGAGAAAACATGTAGGATATGAAACTGTTGGGGATGCTTCCAAGGAGATGTGCTTCACTGCTGACAGGTAACTGAGTTGGTATTGTGTTGTTCTGCATGTTAGCAGCTTTCAAATAATCAAGGTATTTTTCATTCTGTTCATGTAAGACAGAATTGAAACATTTACTATGCATGCATATTAATAGAAACATTTCAATCAACACATTTAAGAGTTCCCACCTGAGGCAGTCAACAGCCTTCTCTGAATGACAGAAAAGCTGTTGTCATTCTGGATAGGTGTGGGCTTAGCCTGAAACTCCAACACAATAAGAACTTTCTTCCAATGTAAGATGGAAGGAAAATAAGAATGTCCGAATCTCAGTTCTACAAATGTGCAGACAAAGCCCTAGCAGCAATATGGAGTGAAGATGACAGTAACAATAAGCATACCTTGAGCATCTTAAATCCGAGGGGATTTTCAAATTCCTTCAGCAGCATTGGTTCAAGGTTCTCGTATTTGTGGCAAGCTCCAAGGGATACACGAGACTTGCCAGTATAATTCACGAGATCTTGAACCTCAGGGAGCTGACCTGCCCTGTAGTGATGAAAGCAGAAAGTGTTTGAGACAGCATTCGTTTTCGTTAGCATAATCAACAATATATTGTAAAACTGTGTTCTGTACAAAATAGATTTCCCAGTGATTCAATGTTAAAGTACTGATTTTTATTTTTCAAAGAAAAATGTACGTTCAATGTTGTAAAAACTCTTCATATTTGTCATGGTTCTGCCCATTTCTTTTTGGCAATGGAAAAATTCCAATGTTTTTATTCTTATATTTTCTAAATAAAGTATTTTTTTGCTAAAAGCTATCAATTTAAAAAAAACAAACATTGCCATTGAAAAAAAGAGGAAAAAAAAGACAGTGGTCTTATTAAATAAGATTCCGGATCAGGCTATAAAACTCTGCTGGTTAATTATTCAAAACCAACAGCAGATCAAGAAAAAATGACAACATCAGGTTCTGCTCAGTCCATGATTCACTCACTTTTAAATAAGATGTTCTAATGAGTTTTGTCAAGGGGCAAAAGCCCATCACAGCTTCATATGCAGCTTTAGCATTAGAGCCAAATTATCAGAAAGACTGTCAAAACCAATTTCCCATTTGTAGAAAGAATAATATTAAGCAATACTATAATTTTCTAAGTTGTACACAGCATCTCTAATCAGTAAATTACAAAACACTTTACAACAAAAAAAGGCAATGAAGTTCCTTGCCCCTGGTTTTCTATGAGAAGAGCAATAGAGTTGAGGGTAAAACCTGAACTCCTTCAATGCTGGTTGTTCTCTATTCACTCAGTCAGACTAGCTACAATATTAATTGTCCATCTATTTTTTTACTAAAAGCAATTTTCCAAATTTGTTTTCTGATGGGGAGGTTAATATGCAGGTTACTTCGTTGTCTTGCAGTGCTTTAAATGAAATTGAGCAACCTGGTCAGGTGGAAGGTGTCCCTGCCTGTTGCAGGAGGTATGGAACCAGATGATCTTTAAAGGTCCCTTCCAAGCCAAACCATTTTTTTAAAACTCTACACATGTATAAATACTCAGCAAAACTTAGCTAACACTAAAGCCCACTGGGACATCACTTATGTGTCAAGGAAAGCTTTTCTTCTAGAAATATATTTACGCATATTTTTTCTCCTAAATTTTGCCTATAAGATGTCTCTAATAACCAGGCAAACACGTAAAGAAAAGAGACAAACTAAATCAAGCACATGATTTCTATACATATGCTCTCACTTGTTTGTGTAACCGTTACGGTTCTGTCAGCAGCTTTGCTCCTTTCACTACCTGGCTCCCTGGGGAGCCATAACAATACAATCTGGCAGATCTTTCTGGATACTTTTTTGGGACATTTCCAATTCACTATGCAGACTACTAAACAGGTATGATTCAGACTAAAATTCCTTTACATTTGAACAGCAGATTAATTACAACTTGATACCATGTGTAATATAACTGAATATTTGAGGGCAGCAAAGCTATGAATTCATGAAGGCTTCACACATACAGAAGAAAAGCATTTTAGCAAAAAGTGATTTTAATATAATCGAAGAAGAAGAACAGGACAAAATGCATGAAACAAAATTCTTTCTAGGCCAAATACCTTTTTATAAAGATGTTTGAGATACAACCTTCAAAACTATCTCCACCAAATTTTATAGGTTTGTTTGACTCCTGGGATGCCCTGGGAGAGTCAACTGATTCTGATTTTGACTCATCATCAACCAGCAGAAGTACTCTGAAACAAAGTGAATCAACATAAGCATGAAATATAAAGAAATAGTTATGACACAAAATGAAATATATATAAAAAAGAACCATTTGACAGATGTGTTTTCTTGTTACATTTTAATTATGCTAGAGCTTCATTAGCTTACTTCTAGGATTTTTTCAGGATGTGCTCACTGACTGCAGTGAAACTGCTCTGCTTTTCCATACAAGATACTGCACAAGAGTTGAAGCTCATACTTCAGTCCTACAGTGAAATCCTGGTCCAGTTGAAATTCCTGAAAAAACTGTCATTAACATCTATGGAACAGGATTCAATTCTTTGTGTCTAAATGGTGCACTTGACCTATGAGCAATAGCTACTACAGACTATCAAGTTATAATCACCCAAAGTTATAGCCAACCATTTAAAACTTTCCACTTCAACTAACACTTCTGTAATTTCATGTTTTCCACAGAAATCAATATAATTTAGGAGCTTTTCAGTAAATTGTCTCTTCTGATATCTGTGTAGAAGACCACTGATGAAAAAACAGACACAATATTTGCTTCTTCCCCGGTCATTTAACCACCTATATTACAGTGATAAAGGTTATGGGAAGGGGAAGAGCTCCAAAGCCTCCAAAGCTCCAGCTAGACAAGAAGTCAAAACTCACACAACCTATAAAAGACATGCCTAATGGGGTACAGCTGAAACAGCTGTCCATACAGGTACCAAAATGTACCTTTACAGACCAAAAATCTCCCTTTCCTTCATTATTTAAGTATTCTTTCCTAGCAATGGCCATTTTTAGCTATTTATCTAAAGAACAAGTCCCACAGAATTTGAATCTTCTCTCTCCAACCACAACATATAGAATCAGATAAAGAACTGGACTCACGTGCTGTCTGTTTTTATTACTGTCACATAATGCAATGACCCATCCTCGTATTTCTTTTCCAGTTTGATTTCCTTCTCTCGCATCTTTGCAGTTACAGAGCCAGGTCTCAAAAAGATGGTAAGAACATCAGGCTATAAAAGAATCCCACAAAATCATCAGCCAAATGCAAGAGCCTTTAGTTCTTGCTACTGCCATTAATGCAGTTCTCAGTGGTTGCTTGTAAGAAACAAATTTTCCTACACTAAATCTGCATATCTCAGTTATCCAGTATGAGATGTTATGCCAAGTTCTGCACAATTAGCACAGTTTCTGTTTTAAAATACTTCTGCACTCTGAGTACCAAACAATTAGTTAAAATACTTGCTTATTTTTACAAAAAGCAGAGGAGTCAGTTCTCCCCTTCTCAAATGCCTGGTTTGCATTCATTTCTTAACATCTCCAGCCAGCAAGAATGCGGTTCGGCTTGAACCTCCCTGCTTTCTGAGGAATCATAGCCAAAATCAACCGCTTTTCTCTGCATATTTTATCATGATAACCTTTCTATGTGGGCAGAATGCCTATTTTTCCTGAGAAAATTTCCAGCCAACTGTATTCAGCAACAGTTTTCTTACTGGGATGGTGGTGTTAGGGGCACGAGCTAGTCTGCAGAAGGCTCAAGTTCAAAGCTCAGTTACTGATCAAACTACTTGCTGGCTGAGTGAAGAAATTGCCAGGATGAGTTTGTCTGGCCTATGACACGCAAGATGCCATGCTCAAAAGATGATTATAATAGCCATTTCTTGCCTTAAAATACAGGAATAGAACAGAAACTGACAAGACTGATTCAGAGATAAAACCAATCACATACGCAAAGCTGAACAAGTTTCATACCCGTAGATTGTAATTTAAGAGTGTTCCAGTTGAAGACATGGTCTGAAAGCCAAAGCCAACTTGGAAATCCTTGGGATATGGGAAATCTGTTGCACTCAGGCTCAGAGTTCCCCCTGTGGAGAAAGCTGCAGATCTGACAAGCTGAAAGAGAGAAAATAATGCTTTCAGTGATTTTCCTCTTAGTCAGAGGACATGGAAACATGAGACAACAGCTGCCCCACTCAACGTAATTGTGACCAACTCCAGTCAAAACCAAGCACAAGGCAAACGACAAGCACCATTATTTCAGTACAGAACACACTGACTGAATTGGTTTTACCAGCATTAACTATGATCTCAGAAATTCTAAAGCATGCTGAGTATAATGAACTGTTCGTCTCTGGCTACTCTGGCTTTGAAAGTTTTCACACTTGGGGACACAAAAGTGAGTGGCTGTGGAGCTGTGTAGGTGAGCTACATAACTGAAACTGTGTGAGTCATAAGACAGAATATACCTGTGCTTTTCGAAATAAGACAAGTTTTAATACTTGAGAAGTTGCACAGATACAAAGAATGAAGGTCAGATCCTCTGCACTGGGAAATAGCCTGCAAAGAAATTGCTCTGTGAAAGGTTTAGATGCCACAAAGGGAAAGGAAACGAGCACAAACTTACAGTGCAAGGCCATAGTAAAAAAGGGCAAATGAGATAATGCACCATGTAAGCAGCAATAAGGAGAAGCAGAAGGATAGTTTTCATCTCTCCTTGCAGCATTGGTTAAGCCAGCACTGAAATGTCATATTATCCCATTTCAAAAAGAATGGGGCAAAACTCAAGGGTGCACAGAAAATAATTACAAAACAGTCAGATGAGTGGAGCAATAGCCTTACAATGAGAGACTTCAGCAGAAGTGGTCTGTTAAGATCTTTCAAGAAAAAAGGCTGAGAGGTCATTTAATTAGGAAGCACAAACACCTTGATGAGAGGGAAGATCCAGAATAGTATTAAGTAACTAAGTATTCCAGCCTAATCAATAACAGCAACTAGAAGCCAACAAGCTTACATGGTAAATATGAATTCCTAATTGTAAACAGTATTAAATAAGAGGGTGGACTATATGCTGGAGCAAGCTATCACAGTAGGGATGGTGTCTCATTTCTTCTGTATCTTCATACCCAGCCCACGTTCTTTTATTGCAGTCACATGTTAACCAAATACAATTTTTGACTTAATTAAAACATAATGGTCCAGGATTTACAGGCAAACCAGACTGTGTGAACTCGAGGAGAAGTTTTTAAGGAACTTTTTAAATTACCTTCCAGTCATCTGAACATTTCTTGCTGACACCAAAAGTCTCGTCAAAAATAACAGATGCAGTGGCTGGGTTTTTCACATTCTTCATGCAGCCCCGGAATGGAGGTGTGGATATATTAAAGCTGGTTTCAGGGAGTGGAAGGAAAAAGAGTTCAGCAGCCTAGTATTCCAAAGTACACACCAATATAGTAGCCTATAAATGCTGACAATATAAGAAATAGAAAGACAACACAAAAGCAACCTTTCTTGCGTACACATACTTCATGCTGATCAAACCCAATCTTCAGGATACACTCCAACAAAGATCGCACCCTTAGCCAAAAATCACAGATTATGATCATGTATTACACATTTGTTCTTTTTATGTCACATAAGATACCTGACTGTGTAAGAAATTGTTTAAGGACAGAGTTTAGATGGAGTTTCCGTACAAATCCTGTGCATTACAGTCTTTTTTACTCACCGCTCCCGTAAAAAAGGTGGGATTCCACCTAGGTAGTACTCAGTGAAATTGAAGACATGTATGTTGGCTTTAATATCAGGACTGACATAAACAACATTCTTTTTTCGGTCAAACACCAAATTAACCTGAAATATGTGAATCATGAGAATTACGTCACTTGGTAGAAACAAAAATAATTTAGCAGATTAAAAGTACTCCCATGGAGCAGGACTCGGTGGTGGTTCCCCCCCCCCCCCATTTACTAGTGATTAAATGCAGGATAACTGCAGTAGTTCAAAAGTACTTTGCAAAATTTGGGTATTTAGCCAAAGCAAATGCCTAAGGAAAATGTCTTACTATCTAAATACAAGGTGAGGTTTTATTTTCCTCAGAAAGATTGCCCTAAAATCTCATCTAAGATTCAAGTATTTTTGTCTTCTGTTTGCAGCTGAAGATTCAGAAGCTGCTGTCTGATACAAGGACTAAGTCAGTCAGTTGGCTAGGTCAAGGTAACTTGACCTAGTAGGGCATAAAAGTTCCTTCCAGTAGACCCTGCAACTTACACTATTTAGTTGGAAATGTATTGAGGTGAAAAGGGAGAATAATTCAACATGGAAATCAAAGGTTTTTAACAATGTCTTTACGATTTCACTAAGGTAGCGCTACAAAACAGCTGGACTGAAGCTAAGGAGACAAGCAACAACAAAAAGACTACAAAAGAGTAATCCCTACAAAGATCAGTCCACCCAGAAGAAATAAACCCTTAGGTGGTGAAAACACTAATCTAAGTATTAACCTAACGTCAATAATTGCAATGTACACAGTCCTCTTTATGTAAAACATTTCTCTGACAAAGTTTTTTTCTTTGGTGGTTTTACTGTTAAAATTGAACTTATTCACAGTAAAGCATGACAAGAGAAAGATTAATTTTCACATGTCCAAACTAATCCCTACTGACTAGATTTCCTCATAGAAAAAGAAAACTCCACAACTAAACATTACAAGAGGATATTTAGTTTCACCTAATCTGTATTTTTACAAATAATGATCACTCGATTCTTTAAAATTACATACTTGTTTATATGTTCCATCATTTACAGTTGCTTTGGTTTCTATTTCTTTTGGAGGTTCAGAGTCAACTTGGTATCTAAAAACTGTATGACCATTTTTAATTAGTGCACTGATGAAATGATCCTGCAATAAAAAGAACACCAACACAATTAAACTGCCAGAATTTCACATATATTTCACTGTCATGAATAATTTTAATGAAGCTATCTAGTTTCTTCAGGAAAGCTTTTTGGGGAAATGGTAACACAAAGCAGACTAAATCTTACACTAATCAACCATAATTACTTTAAACTATTATAAACAGATCTGGTATCAGCTCCAGGTATTCTCCAAATCTCTAAAGGACTTCAAGTCATTTCAGGATGTCTACTGAAATAGAAAATTATCCAGAACATGTCACAGTGATTGCCATATGCCTACGACACTACTAGATAAGTAGCATCACTGCCTTTTTGAGCACCTTTACAGGTGTAAGTCACCAAGTCACTTTCAATATTTTTCCTTCCTCTGTTTCCACACACATCTAGATTTGGAAAGAATGCACTTCCAGTATTGTAGGATTTCAGTATTCCAACATAAGTTTGATTTCAATTACATTCCTTATTTCCTGTCCCCAGTTCTGAATTCTCTGCATGGTCTAATGGAAGAGTTATTTGGAATGATTTTTTTTCTCAGCTTTGACAAAGTGAATATTCAGTAGCCATTGTGGAATCATAGAATATCTCAAGTTGGAAGGGACCCATAAGGATGATCAAGTCCAACTCCCTGTTCCTTGCATAACTACCAAAAACTAAACCATATGACATTAAACATACAGCAGAATCTACTAATTTTTTGCATAGAAAAAAATCACACTTTTAAGACATTTCCTTACTGTTATTACTAAATCTAACATGCTCTTGAATAAGCAAGATTTTTAAAGATGTTCTCTGACCACAAAACAGACAGAAGCATTCCACACATTACCTCATGTGCTGCAAAAAAAACAAGGCCTTCATCTGCAGTAGTCTCAACTGTCTGCTCGTACCGTACTCGGTTAGCATTTCCTTCTTTTGCTGTGACACGGGCATAACCAGTGCCCTCAAAATAGCTTTGGTCAGTCTCTTCTTTATACCTGTAATAATTCAATGTCACAGGTGTGAATATATGAGAGCAAAAACCACTACCACATGGACTTACTGCTGTTGTAGTTTTAAAAAAGCTTAACTTAAAGCATTTGCTATAGGGCCAAATTCCGATCAAGCCCAAACAGAGAGAAAACCTTCCACTGCCTTCTATCAGACTCACATCTGGTCTTTAGAGAGGAAATCATTAGTGACTTTTTTGAACTTAATGTAATATTTAGTTTATAAAGGAGCTGAACCCATTAGTCCACAAATTGTGTCTGGATTTTATAACACCTAACTTTAAACAGACTGTGACTGCCATAAATGTGAATCATGCCATCACTAAGAATTTTCTCTAAGAAATGTAATAATGACCAAGAGTTAGAAAAAAAATCACCAGTTTAGCTACAGTGGTTATTCGTCTGGATGAGAAAAGACAAGAATCCATAATGATAAAATCACAGAACTGTGCAACACTTCTATGTTTAGATCATACCTTCTGCAGGGTTGCACTTCAGTGGTATTGAGATTAAATGTCCTCTTGAAGTTGTAAAGGCTGATAATATGCTCATTTAGGCTGTTTAATTCAATGCAGCCTTCATAATTAGGATAGTCAAGATTACGTGGAGGCTGCAAAATAGTGTCATCAAAAACATTCCATCAACATCAGCTGATAAAATTTTACATTGACATCTAACTGCTAAGACTTACTGCAAATGTTATTAAGACACAGAATATGACATTCTAAATATATATTAAAAATATTATATACTTGTATATAATCTCCAAACCATCTGATACCACCCCAGGAATACTGCAGCCCAATTTAAAGTGGAGTCACATGGATGCATTGGGAACAGTACTTAGCAGGGCTAGACAGGTTTCATGCTTTACTCAGCTTTCATGCAAGTGAAAGATCATTATGGTCCCTGCTTTGAGTTTTGCATGCTACAAGCCAGGCAGCTTCTGTAGGAAGTGGCATCTCCTTGCATCCCATCTATTCCTACTGACATGGATAAACTTTTACACATGCTTTGAAAGACTGCTAGTTCCAATTTTTACTTGTAAGAACAACAGAACAATTAACAGAAAATCTCTTTAAAACACTAAGAAACTCTTTGTACCCTAAAATCTGCGGGGTATCCTCCAACATAAAAGACAACAGTGCTGGGATCAAGGTTTAGGAGAGTGTCACTGCCTCCACTGCTTGCACTCATGGGGCTTTCCTGCTCTGGAGAAATTGATGTTGCTGCTCTGATGTAATTCAGCTTTGCATACTGGTAAATCCTAAAACCAAGACAGAGAGGAAGAATATCACATCATGCTACAAAAAACCAAACACATTCTTAGCAGGTTTTTGAGAAGGTTGTTGTGCACTGTGGATCTTATACCTTTCAAACTTAACTTGATCCATAACAGCTTCCTCAGTTTCGCTTTGAGTCACCAATGACTTCACTCTTATTTCTCCATCACCACCTCCCAGGTTATAGACACAAGTAAGGTGACCGTCTTTCACAGCCATACCAATATAGTCCTTGGAGGCCTAAAAATAGCAAAGCAAATAATAATTCATAAATGATTAATGTTAATGAAGGTAAAATACAGCAGCACTTCCTCAGAGACATCATCATACTGTGCATGAGTCATAAGAAATCCACCCACCTAATGATGAGAATTAAGTTTATCAGTTCTGGGAAGAAAAAATGGTAATCTTATGTGCTGCATTGATTCAATGAATATAGTTACAAATTAATTGAAAAGTCATGTGTCGCTTTTTATTTTTGTAATCATAGTAGCTAAAATAATTTTCACATTTGTAAAATCTCCCAGATAAAGCCATGAAAACATGACACCTTTACTAAAAGCTAGACTCAACACCTGTGAAACAAAAAAGATGTTCAAAACAAGTCTCAGTGAAGGACAGTGTTTCCTACTGAGGTGACTGAGAGCAGTCATTTTCCAAAGAAATTCATACTATATTTCTTCCACATACCATATTTCAGAAGTAACAATTAAAATGCTGTCAACAGATATCCTGGCCAGTTATTCAGGGGATAAAGAGGTGAAATTCAGTGTAGAATAACTACCTTTAAACAGCTTTCTGTGTATGTGTGAGATTCACTACAGACACAGCTGCTGTTAAATATTAAAACTTAAAAATGCATTCAGGAACTGCATGCAGGAAATTTTTAAAATGTTTGATGGTGATGGAGCAAGCCTGAATGCACAAGCAGGTCTGCATTATTCTGCATATTCAGAAGTGAAAGAAATTAAGAGCCAAAGGGCTGAATTTTAAGACTGAAATTATCACTTCTTAACCAACAAAGAAACTCACAATGACTTATACTGTGAAAAGAGTCAAAGCTGTGAGGCAGGAGTTGGGCTGAGTTTGTGCTGACTGCTGCAGAAACTGTCAGTTCTGACAAGACTGTGGGACGGTATCCATGACAGAGAGGTAACTTCCAAGGGAGCAAAACAGCAAAGAATCAAAGGGCAAAGCAGTCAGCCCCAAAAGTTACTTTGCCAGTGAAGGAATCAACAAAACATTTCTACCACCACATATCAGCAATTATAAAGAAATAGGCCAACAGGAGCTAGAAACTTCAGTCAAAATAGATCACTTCCCATTCGTTTCTCAAAACATGATGTTTGTTGTAAAAATCAGATTAAATATCAAAATATACCTACATCTTTACTACCCAGGTACAGTACAAACTTATTTGATGCCCTTTCAGGAGCGTCTAATCTTTTCTGAGGTCTTTGGAGAAATAAAGAAAGTGAAGTATAGCCTTTCAGATCTTCAAGGTTGCTCGGAGGTCGAACCTCTACACCAGAGCTGCCATTGAACCTCATAGGAATAGCAACCTGTTAAGAAAAACAAAATTCAATACATTATAATTATCTTTTTCTACTAATTCTACTTATTTTACTGTTGTATTTAATTGCAAAGTAACCTATTACACATCCTAGCCATGTTTCAGCCACCAATTACTAGAGATTTGGACTCTGATCCTACCAAACAACATAATTAGGAAACAGACTGGATAAAACAGTAATCTGTATTATCAATACTCACTTAACACAGCACTTTTTTATTTCAGACATCAATTAACCAGAAGGATGTGCACTGCATCTCTAAAGAGCAAGCCTGTGAATTATTTAGATGTCTACATACACATCCTGATGCTTCACTTAGCTGGACTTGACTATCAGTTGGGAATTATAACGCACCTCTGATATTGTAAAGACGTCCTATTACAGCTATTTGCACCATGATCACTGATTCCTCTTATTCACTGTAACTGTAGGTTATTTGTGATGATCTCAGGGATGCTTCTCAGGGACCTGAGACCACACTATCCCTTCAGCACCTACAGCAGTTACTTAAACGGAGAAAGAACGGTCTAGCAAAAAGATGCTAGTAGCCAACTTCTAACATCTTGGAGCAGCTGGAGAAATGAGAGCACAGAGCTGCCCAACTTTTTTGGCAGTGTCAATGCTCAATTGGCCACACATGGGTGGAGAGCCCTGCCCCTAAGCTGCAGATCCAACTTTATCCCTGCTGCCAAAACCACAACAATGTACCTTGGAAGGCAAGAGGCTGTTGTACAAATAAGTATTGCAGAGATGCCTGGGAAAAAACCTAATGGGAGAAAGGTGTAGCAGGATGATACTGCATCCACTCCTTCTTATGTACAAATTATTATGCTTCCCATCATCACAGTTACTTTAAATGCTAGGTGGTGCCGTTGAATTAAATTTATGTCTGGTCTTTCACATGCATTTTAACAAAATTATTTAGAAAGAGAAAGAGGAACAAAAGTACTGTTGTGTGTGCAAAACACTGAGGTCTAGCATGATTGCAATGCTCACGACAGACCTTATTTGCAGCATCTCTTGCCTGTTGAATCAGCTCTCTTATGCGATTTATGTTCTCAGAGATGTTGCTTATTGGCATCAGCTGTTGGTTGATACTCCTGATCTTGCTGAAAAGGTCTGGAAGTTGGTTTGTCAAATTTTTCACTGCAGTGAAAGAAAAAAATAATAGATGCCAAACAGGAAGAGGAAAACAAGATGCAAAAATGTGGTATCACTACACAATTACCAGAAATGCAGTGGGCAGAGTGATGACAGAACTGTTTTCACTAGTCCTACAATACTAGGAAGCTCTCACTAAACTAGCAGTTTATAAAGAGGTTATTGTACTCCTGAAATTTGTGGCCAAAGGTATTTGCAGAAGCAGTCAGAATCAGCACTTTCAAAAATGTCTAGATAAAGGTCCAGAAAAAATATTAAGTAGAACAGCACTGTGGTCTCTAACATTATTATCCAGTGACTATGGATGCTATGGGAGGATGAGAATTAAGGACAGCAGACAGGGGTCAGGCTTACATGCATTTCTTGAGTAGCACCTCCTGCTGCCACTGTCAGAGAGTGAATACTGGGGCAAGCACACTGCTGGCCTGACTGAATAGGGCATGTCTTACATTCTTGTGTCAAGGTTGTTAGTCAGCAAAATTTAGTAGTGAGCCTTACAGTATCTGGGCACATTTATTTCAGTAGAAAATACTATGAGAATTTCCTTTATAACAAGAAACAATTTTTCATCTCCTGTGACTACAAAAAAAAAACAAAACAAAAAAACTCACCCTGAAAGTATCTGCAGACTGCAACTCTATGAAGTTGGCAAATAAAATGAAATACAGACCTATCATTTTTCTAAGTATTACTTATAAGCCAGTCTTGTATCTGCAGGGATGACTTATAACTCTGCAATAATATCCAGGACTAGTACTTGTATTTATCTTATTTAAAATGTTTTCCTCTCACTTGACTTTATCAGATAAATCTGCTGAAAAGATGTAAAACAAACTTGTTTGGGATTGTAATTGTCCCTTTTTTTGTATTCAGCACAGGCTCTATGTAATCCATTCACTTAATTTCAGCTAACAGATATCTAGCCTAAGCTAATTGTCTAGATCCCTTCTCTACCCAGTATAGTATAAAATCACATAATTAGAGGGTGGCTGAGATTGGAAGGGACCTCTGGAGATCATCTTGTCCAACCCCTGTGTTCAAGCAGGGCCACCTAGAGCCAGTTTCCCAGAATCGTGTCTAGACAGCTTTTGAATATTCCCAAGGATGGAGATTACACAACCTCTCTGGGCAACCTGTGCCAGTGCTCAGTCACCCTCACAGAAAAACAAGTGTTTCATGATGTTCAGAGGGAACCTCCTGTGTTTAAACCTTTTACCCCAAGAGCACATTGCTGGGTCATCTTCAACTTGGTGCCCACGAGGACCCCCAGGTCCTTTTCTACAAAGCTTCTTTCCAGCTTGCCCACCTGCTCAACATATACTGCTGCAGGGGTTTAATTCTCCTCCGGTGCAGAACTTCTCCTTGTTGAATTTCATGAGGTTCCTGTCAGTCTATTTCCACAGCCTGTTGAGGTTTGTCTGGATGGCAGCGTGACCCTCTGGTGTATCAGCCACTCCTTCCAGTTTTGTGTCATGAGCAAACCTTGCTGAGGGTACACTCTGCCCCCTCATCCAGATCATGAATGAAAATGTTAAACAGGATCAGACCCAGTACTGAACCCTGGGTTACCCTGCCAGTCACTGACCTCCAAGTCTTTAGAGACCAGTCATGGCACCAACTTTTAACACGTACCACAGGATAGCCTGAGTCACTCTCTGCTGTGCCTATCCCTTTCTACTGGCAATAAAGGAAGCTAAGAATACTAGCTTAGTCTGTGTGCCCAAATTTTAAATGTCTAAACCTTCCACTGCAAAACTGACCATGTTCATGTAACAGTGATTTGGCAGATCCCACACAGCACTTGCAATACCTGAATTGTTTGCCTCCATCAGTGCTTTACTGAAGCCAGCACTCTGTGTGCTTCCATAGGTACTCCTAATTTTTTCCACATCTGCTTGAATTGGGAGCAGTTCATCCCATACATTAGTTGTGACATCCTCAGCACTTTTTACCATGTTCTTTGCACTGGTGATGATGCTGTCAATGTCATCTGAAACACACAGAAGTGCATGTGCAGGTTCTTATAGGAATAGATGAATGAGGCAGAGCAGAAGTGGTTGCTAAGTAACTGACCTCTGTTTATCCCATTGAGATTATTTTGAACAGTGACAAGATCAATCTGCAGGGTATTCTTCTTTCCATCAGCAACATCAAGTCTTTGCTTTATGTCTTCAAGGTTTGGACCAAGAGCTGCAAAACAGTAATGCCCCATGTGAATTTTAAACAAAACTACCACCTTTCTGTTGGACAAGTGATGTTGCAGGACCAGCCTGCACTCTTACATAGCTTGTGTTGCCACTGAGCATTGAGTGCACTGCAAAGAAAGAACAAGACACAGGATTTGCTGGGCAAGAGTACTGCAAAGGTATATAGCATAGCAGAAGCAAGACATCTACTTTCCCACCTTTTACCATTGGAAATAACCATCACAAGATGTCCCACTGTAGTAGAACTAGGTTTTATTTTTGGTTAAACAAGTGCCGCAAAGCTTTGCTGAATTTTGAAAATTTATGCTTCTATGGAAGCTTCTCATGCTGTGCCAACATTATTACTAACACTTTCTTTCTTAGTACCTTGTAATGTCCTTTTAGTCTCCTGTGCTTGATTCAAGAGTATACTGCTCTCAGTTTTTAACCTTGCAGCTTTTCCTGATAGGTCTTCTCTCTTCACAGTCTGATAACAGAAGCATGGTACTATAAGATTGCTTCATAATTATATTAAAAGTTAAAGAGTAAAAGAGGTAGCCCAATCCAATTAAAAAAGCCCAAACTATACAAGGGCAAAGATCTAATGTGAAGAACACCACTTTAGAAACAATTATCAAGATTCTTTTAAGGATAATACAAACTTGATCTTCAACAAGCTTCAGGTAGATTTTGGGACATTAGGAAGAAATTACTAGCATACAGCTGTTAGATGTTAAGCCTCTGCTAAAGAGCTTGTGGGCATTAGTAGTGCAAAGCAAAGGAGAATACCTGAAATCACCTTCAGCGATTACCAGGCTTGCCTTATAAGATCTCTTTATTTTGCACTGAAAGCAACAGTCAGTATTCATATGAACAGTCTCACCAGAAAGGCAGTAATTGGCCTGTTTAGTGGTGAGCCAAAGCTAATTCCTGAACATGCAGAATAGCAACTCATGTGATGGTCACAGACAAATAAAGCATGACAAGACACACAGGTCTTTGATTTCGGTGCCTCTCTGGCAGTTAAAGAAAACAAAAATCTAGTTGTAACAAGTTTACCATGATTTGGCCACTTACAGGTACTTACCAATAAAGCTGAGTCAGCTGCTTTCCCAGCTTTGTTGGCTGCTTCCTCTGCTGCCTTGATGGCATTAATAATATTGTCATAGGCAGTAGAAGCTTCCACAGCACAGCCTACCAACTCATCCTTCCTGGCACTGTTCTTTATTCTGTGGGAAAAAGGGTAAAAAATGCAGCCTTCTGCAAAGGCTGTGGACTTTGAGAAGTATTCTGAACAGATCTGAACTCAGTCTTTTCTAAGTAATGAAAATACAGAAAATGTTTTTCAGTTAGATCTGTAACTTCATGCCGCAAAAATACCAAACTTGGAAGCAGAACAATACGCAAAGATTCTTCAGAAGACAGGATGAATTCTGGCACGTGGAAAATCACAACTGTGGGCCTCCAAAGCAGCCTTTAAATGATTAAGGTGGAGAAAATTTACCAAAGCACATGGCCAATGCAGCACCTCGATCACAGCCCTCCAAATACACTTCAGTTAAGAGGAATTCATAGAACTGTAGATTCCAGATCATCTCTGGCTGCTTCAGCATCCTAATGAAGCACAAAGATGGAGCAACTACAAGACCTTTCGTGTTTTCCCCAAGAACCAGCACAGCAGTTCTGGAATCAGAAACCATAGACAAAATCTCTTCTACCCACTCCCCGTGAACTATACAATTGTCCAGTATTAGCTGCCTTGTATCTGTGAGAACAGTGTCTTCTTAATTGAAAAAAATAACACTGAAAACTAACAAAAAAAATTAATGAAAATGTGGGTGGTTTTAACTAAGAATGTTCCAGCTGAGTTAGGTATTTTGGAATTTAACTTTTTGAGGCTTTCTAATTGGTGTAATGACAAATGCAAATAATTTGCACAGGAAAAAGTAAATCAGGATTTCATTTTTTTTTCATTTTGTTCTGATGTACCACAGAAGGCCTCCAAAAACTCTCATAATTCCAACACAAAGTACAAAAAATGGAGAGAGAAACACTTGATTCCTATCAAGTTTATAATATTTTTGCCTTTCTAGAAGATTCCTTGGAAGGATGAGAAAACTATAGGAAGTCTTTTCCTTAGTAATGCTAAGCAGGTGTGTCTGAAGACTGCCAAGATAGCATTTCTTCCAATTATTTGCCTCAATTCACTGATATCATAAAAGCATCCCTGAGTACGAGTACTAGAAATAACTCTACAAAAAAGGTATGCTAAACATCTTCCTACTCTGTACATGAGGACTTTCTCTTGTTAGTAAGATGTTAATGAAGTGTTAGTGCAGTAGTATAAAACAGTATTATGGGAGTTCGCACCTCTGGGGGAAAAAAAATCAGTGAAAGTACAGGAAGAGCTGTTCTGTGGAGAAAAAAGAAAACTTCTGTACATTATGAAGAAGCAGAAAAAGACCAACTTAATTTCTCTCTAACTTTGCAAACAGTTATTAAAGCAAGTGAAGTTACAGACAGACCACTACAACCATGAATGCTCTGTAGAAAAATTACTCATTTATAGGAATGGCAACATACTCTTCTAGTTGTTTTGCCAAGTCTTGCAAAGATTTGGCATGTTCCTCGGCCCTCACTACCAATGGTTCTTTGCTTGCTGATGAGAGATTTGTCAGTTTTTCATTCATATCCTTCCTTGCTCCATCCAGCTGAGCAGCCAGGCTCTCATATTCCTACGGATTTATAAAGATAAAATTTTATTTGTATTCGTACATGCTTTTGTACTTGTCTACTTTAGTGTTACATATACTTTGCATCTGAGGAGAGCAAGGGGAAAAACATTTTGTTCCAACTTACTCTGCAGGTTATGGGAAACAACTGCTAGTCATTACATTATGCTTCCAGACCCATTACATAAAAACCGAGTGAGAGCAAAGACCCTTCCAGCCCACTATTCTGTCTCTGACTGTGGCTGAAAACAATTGCCCAGAAAGAAATACAAGAATATCACAATTGCTTATGGTATTTCTCACAGACCTTCTCCCAGATTCTGACATTTGCAGTTCAGTATCTTCCTCAGACAGATCACAACCCTCAATGAGCTTCCCTTACAGACACCTGTGCAGGCAGACTCCTTTTGCATCCAGGATGGGCCTTGAGATCCTTTGTTGTGAAGCTCAAACAAGCCCCGTCTCCCAGCTATGCTACCCATTACAGTGACAGCAAGATATTGGGGGTTTTAACCTTGTCTTAAGAAGGTAAACTATACCTCTTTGCTCTTTTGCAATAATCCAAGTACGCTGTTAGCTTGCGTCAGGGAAGATCGGGCAGAGCTCAGAACACTCAAGATACCATTCTGTTGTACCTTTGTCTCCTCAATCCGTTTCTGAGGAAAAAAGAAAACTTGAACAACATGTGATTGAGTTAAAAATAAGGGGCAGGAAAAACCATATCTACTTAATCTAGCTGGTAGTAGGATTTACTGAAGGTACTGTTGCTGTGTTAATCAAATGCCTCTAATGTTTAGGAAATAATGCTATCCTATTAGAAGGGAAAACTCAAGAGTCTGTCCTAGTACAGCATAAAGCTGGACAGCAGACTGCAGCAGTTTAGTTACTAATAGTCAAAGTAAAGGGAGTATGGGTCAGCTGAGATGAACTGTTGAGATAGACTATCTAAGTGTCTGATATCTCAAACTTGCAAACTTCAAACCTGGAAACTTTAAAAACAGCTCCCTGGTGACTACCTTGATCTTTTGCATTCTTTGAAAAGCAGGAATAAAATGGTTACACTATCCCTTCATCTGGAGATCCTACCAAAAAGGGGGTGTGAAATCTCCCCGCCTTATCTTCTTGAAAGCTCCGAGGGGATTGAAGCCCCTCGGTCTTGGGCAGCCCTGTGACAACCCACAGTGTAGCTCTAGGATAATGGCACACCACAAACACAGCCAGAGAAGTGGTGCTGCAGGTAAGGATGCGTAACTTTCTTCAGCTGGGCTTCTATCATTGTAACGTGTCAAATCTCTCTACCACAGAAGTGTATCATGAGATGTAAGACCTGTACCTACGCATCCATCTTTTAACGCAACTGTGCACACTTATGGAACACGCATAATGTCTAGTCCATGAACATAAAGGTTCAATTAAATATTGAAATGGACAGTTGAATGAAGGAATTCTTTTGTTCAAGCAGTGTCAGAAAACTGTATGGACACGAGTGTGCTAAAACAGTGATATATTTCAGCAAAATCACAATTAAAAGAAAGGGTGCTGCAGCACACATTTCTTGTACTATTTTACCAGCTCTAAAAATCAAACATTGCTCAGGAAGGACAGGTGTTTCTTGTCACATTTCTGATGAGACCTTAGAAGCAGTTCTGTAGAACATTAATCCCAAATAATTTAACAGTATTGCATACATATCTGCTCCCATCTTTCACGGCTGCTAAAGCCAAATACTTTAAAGCACTTACTACAAAAAGTATATCAGCATCATGAATTTGATCTAGAACAGGAAACAAAAACACTAGTGGCAGCTGAAGTGCTAGGAAGAGACTCTTCTTCCCTGCTCTTATCAGAGTTATGTCTTGGTCACACTGTCCTGGTCACACAAAGAGGCCACAAGTGGGACTAGACTATGTTTATACCTATCCATACACACATCAAATGATGGAAAGAGATCCTGGAGAAAGCCTACAGAATTAGTGCTGCTTGGCTTTGTAAGGTCAAAAGCAGCAATCAAAAGCTTCTTATCTCCCAAGTTCTAACTTTCTTCTCCAGAAGCCCAACATTACCTTAATGTCTTCCAACAGAACTCCATTATCTCTGTTTAAGTTTTCAGCCTGCTTGATTTGCCCTGTTGCATCATTCAGAGCTTCACGAAGGTCAGTGATTTTGGATTCATATTCATTCAATGAATCCCTCACAGCTTTAATAAGCCCATGATTTTCTTGGTGGTACTTTTGTAGTTCATTCTTAATACGTGTCAGTACTGCAGTATTGGGATCAAAAAGAAAAGTTTTTTTCAGAGAAGAAGAGAAGCAGAACAAAGTTCATTCAAAAGGGCTTGACATTTAGGATTAGAAAGCTGTGTTTGTGTGTACTGAGCATCCTTTGCCGTGCTAATCTCAGTGTTACTATAGCAGAGACAGTATCCAGCATCTCACTGGATCAAATCTGCTCACTAGTTTGCTGCTGCAGACACAGAGCACAAATAATCATTTTCTAAATTACCTAAGGGTGAGGCTGACCTGCAAATACTAAATAATTTTCTTTTTTTTTAATATGGAACTAACACAATTTCATCAACAGTCTCAACTGCAATGTAGATATCTACAACTGCACTAGTCATCAATGTCTCCCCTTTAATCAATGGAGAGATATGGGCACATGTAATCTGAAAGAGAGTAGGAACACAAAAGAGATCAAATTAATCTCTTAAGAGTGCTATTTCACTGCCTACAAAATAGGATACAGTAGAATTTTTTAGAGGTAGGTATCAAAGTTCAAAGTTGGGGGAAATTAACTATGACTCTTAATCTTTTATATTCCTCAGCTATGCCCCTGGTTAGGAGATATGCCTGTGACATTGCTGTTCTTGCTGTCTTTCATGTCTGGAATGAAGTTTCTGAATGTCCCAGTCAAATGTGTAGAGAACACAAAAGGGAGTACAACTAGTGCAACTAGAGCTTCTGACTTTCCTAATCCTTGTATGATCTGGCCCTCAAACTACTCTAGCAGCTTCTGAAAATCTGTTGTTAAATTAAACGTGTAATTTCTCTAAAATAGCTGTACATACCACAGCCTAATACACAGAAGTGCTGCACAGGTGTATTATAATGGCTACATCTTTATTTTACTGAGATTGATCTAATTATAAAAGAAGTATCTACTGTGTTTCTTCCCCAACTCAACTCAGTTTCTTCCAAAACAAACTAAAAATGCCTTTAAATCCCCTCCAAAACTACCACTTTCCTGTTGACTAACAACCGCTACAGATCCCAGGGATTCATTCCAAAAGGCCCCTCCCTGCACTCCATCCCAAACAATCAATAATGCTCCAGTTTTAAGACTGATCTTTCTGGAGAGTAAGAAGCTGAGAGAACAAGCACTTACACCGCTGAGCTTCTGTTCGTTCCTTCTCTGCCTCGGCTTGAAGTTGGTCAAAGTTACGGTTTCGCATCTCCTTCATCATGCGTTGAGCTTCTGCCAGTTCTTCAGAGGCATCTCCCAAGGGCAAGCTGTTACCTTCTGCATTTGTACCAGCTATTTGTTCCAGGAGCACTGAAAAAAAGCATTGTCAAAGTCAAAGAGAGAATGAGCTCAAGCCTATTCAAAAGACACAACTGACAGGGCCAATCTCTCTTCAGAAATAGACAGGTCTATTCCTGAATTCCTTAATGAAGCTGATCCATTTTGCATTAATTCTATTAATACAAAAAGTATCCCATTGCACACAGCCAGAGCCAGTAAGATGGCATTGAGCTTGAAATTTGTCCCAAATGACCAATTTCACAGCAATAATTTTAAGCTTCTAACTTTAAAGACCCTATAATGGCAACCCAGAATAAAGTTAGACTTAAGTCAGGATAGTCAATTTGTTTTTCTAAATGTCCCTGTGGTGAAGCTTCTCTGTCCCTATTCACTGCATAGGGAAGGTAGGCTCCTAAACTAACATTATATATTAGATTTCTAATAGGAAGAGTGAATTCCAGAGCTATGACTAAATTCTGACTTATGAAGTTGTTTTCTAACAAAACCTCTCCTGCTTAATTAAGAATATTGTAAATAAATTGAAAAGATTCCATAAAACACAATCATGTTATGGAGTTAGAAACTATTTTTTACCTTGTATATTGTTGACAACTATTTGTATTCGTGAAACCAAATCCTTTCCTTTCTGATGAGTTTGGCCAAAATTATTAAATAATCTCTCAGCTGCTTTGTAGTTCATTTCAGCCTAGCAAGGAAAAAAAATAATAGATTAAAAATATCTGGATACAGCATGCCAATATATACTCAGGAGATGTGTATTTTTAAATTGATTTGGTAAGTCACCTTTTCCTGAAGAGCATTTACATCACTGTTTAGTTTAGTGAATTCTGTCTCCAACTCATCTACTTTTGAACCTTGATTATGAACAACAGAATGGTAGTTGTTCAATAAGACCTGAAAAGAAAGGAAAAAATAAGCCAATAAATCACCCATACAGAGGAGTCAAAAAGCAAAACATTCTCATGGTTAGATCTTTATTCAACATAAATAAAAGCAGCATTACTGACACAAAAACTCACCAATTGCTTCCCAAAACCTGTTTTTTATTATTTGTGAGTATAGCAACAGCTATTCCAACTAAAAAACATGTTTTCAGAATTAATTTCAGTAATGGCGACTGGAATATTGGTTTTTTTCAGTAATGCAGAGATATGAAGTGCTTGAAAAAGATAGAGCCAGAGGGAAACCTCAGAAATATAACTTTCAAGGGGAGCAGGCCTAAGAAAAAGCAGAGATACAAATTCTATTTCAGAGCATGACTGTCCTAGTTAAAACAGCTGGGACCAGCTCATCACTGTACTGTATGGGTGTAACCCAAACCTGTGTATTCTATAGCCTTCCATGCCATTTCCCAGAAACTGTTATCAATAGACCATTTACACCCTCTGCCCAGAGCAGCCTGACTCCTCAGGCTATAAACTGAGTGTTAAGAGGTCTTCGAGATAGGAGGGTGCCTCCCTGTCCTCACACCCTTTGTGGAACTCCCCGCCCTGAGGGAAGTACTGGGCATTCCTGCCTGAACTGGAGAATATATAATCTTGGAGTCTTGGAACTTTTTTAACCACTTGTGGGATCCAGAGGAAGACTGCAGACCACCGCTCTCAACCAGACTGAGACCACCACTCTTGACTGGACTGCAACCACCACTGCAACCACCACTCTTCAACCAGACTGCAACCACCACCCTTGACCAGACTGCAATCACCACTCTTGACCAGACTGCAACAGCACTCTCACCAACAGGTTTTTCCCCCTCCCTTTACTTTGGACTCAGGGGGCCCAAAGAACACCACTCTGTTCATGCCCCAGGGTGCTGGGTTATACATTTGGGGTTTGTGGGTTAAAACCAATTGTCTGTCTGTATAATCGTACTTATTGTATTATTTTATTAAATTGTTATTCTGACTTATAATCTCTCTTTTGAGTTGAGTTCATTTCCCCTGCTGGTTTACCTTTAAACCAGCACAATGACATAGAAACCACAGATATCTTCTAACAAGTGAAGCCCAGTGCTGCCAGCATCTGGTATTTGAAATCAAATGCTGATGTACGTCCCCTTGCAAACTGACAAACCCTAAGATCCTGGGTTCATTTCTTATCCGCTTAATCTGAAATCCACTTTTCTGTTTCTGTGTGCCTACCTTTAAGTCCTTGATGCGTGTTTCCAGATGTCTCATCTGCTCCAGCGTGTGGGTACTTGCATCGACATTTTGCAGCTGAGACTTAATGAGCTGAAGCTCGTCACCTATTGTGCTCAAATCCTTCAGCAGTGTAATCACACAGCTATCGCAAGCTGGAGGGAGCACAAGCAATGGAAATCAATATATATCGTTGATATTTGACACAGAGAACATTTCACTGAGCACATTAATAAGTGAGATGCAATGGAAATGCTTTGAAGGTTGTCACCTGGTGCTGCCTGAAGAACAAAGGCAACAACAAAGCCCGCAGTATAAAGGAAAGTGACCAAAGCCAGAAATAAGGAGATCCCATTTACATCTGAATAGCTGACTGCTTCTTTAATCATTTTTCCAAGTGTTTGGATGAATGTTTGCTTTTAAAATGGTTATTATGGGATACCTCCAATCCTTTTTAAACTCTGTAGCCCTTAAAAGGGCTATATGCATCTGAAATCAGCTGAAAGTAATCCAACTCAAGTTCTATTTTATTACTTACAGTCACAATCTTCATTGGGATCCACATCTTTTGGTTCGTTATTGAAACATTCTGAAATCACAAGCTTGTCATTAGTAACCAAAGTTTTCTTATGGAAATACTATTTCATTTTTGCCCTTGCTTTTCATGGTTGGCAGCCATTAAAACACAGTGCTGCCCTTCCATAAATCTACGCTCACTGTCAATGATCTGAAATGCCCAGAAGGTTTGAGCATGCCAAAACATTCCGCTCCCACTTATGCCTTGCTGTAAGCAATGCCTTTTCCATCCCTCAAAGGAAACTTAGTGTAATCCCCTAATATATGCCACTTGGGTAGCAGCAGAAGGCCTTCTCATATCAAGTGTGCCAAATGTATTCCTAGAATTTGCCTAGAACAACACCAGGGGCATTGGAGCCAAGACAGAGTTCAAGAAGCTTTTGGACATCAGTATGTATTTGCTCTCAGGCACATGGGGCTGTCCTCTGCAGGTCCGAGAGCTAGACATCAATGATCCTTGTGGGTTCCTTCTAATTCAGGATATTTTATTATTCTATGACTATACTGTTAAAGCATTTCACCCTGGACGTAAGTTCAAACTCCTTTATCTACATTAGTATCCATGTTCAAACCACAGATTCTGATTCCCCAAATAATGTCTTACCCACAAGGAACTAAGAAATATTTATGGATTTCCTTCATGCCTGTCACAGCTTGCAAGATTCAGGTATTAATTAAGCTTGAGAGAAATCCACAGTGTATGCACGGAAGGAGGCATTTTATATAAACCAAGGCATAGAGCTTGGACCACAGATAGAGGTGGTATATAACAAACATTGCCCTCAGACTTTTCAACAAGCCAGCACAAGTGACTGCATCTCCACAGTGCTCTTTTGTTTTGTTCATTTGCTTTATGAACCCTGTTACAAGAAGCTTAACACTCCCCAAGTGCATGTGGAATTGTAACATCCTGGGATCCTAACTTCTAGGAGGAACTGGGTCCTAAAAATCATATCACATAGATAACAGGAATGTTCCCCGTCTTGATGCCCAAGTTCCTTTCACAGGCTTGGTCTTACTGCCAAAATATCATCTCCTCTTGAAAATGAAAAGAGCTGTGCATGTTGGTCAAAGCTTAAACTTGATGCTCTTGGAGGTCTTTTCCAACACTAATCATTCTATGTCTTTTACTCTGCAGGAAAAGGATGCACTCGATATAGGCTGCTGCTGTCAACAGTCAACAACAGCTTGCAACTGTGAGAGGGTACAGTGATAAAATTGGACCTGAACTTTAACAGCAGCATGAAACAGCCTGGAACAAACTGCCTAGATGTGCCACTTCCTTTGGCACTTGCACATTAAATCATCAGGAAGTTAAATGGGATTGGTCGTGATCATTGCTGCCAAAAGCAGACAAGTCACAAAGAATATATTTGTGAGAGAATGAAGGAAATTATTTTGAAATTCAAATACTCATGCAATTCTGCTGTTGTGTAATTCAGCTAACAGCAGATACATTTCAGCTGTCGCTGTGAAGTACCAATTAAATAAAACTATTATTACAGCTTGTGCACAAACAGCATCAGCCAAGAAATGGTGAAGTGCTGGCCAAGCGCCGAACATCACGCAAAAGAAACCTTCTAGAACATGCTGTGCCGATGATCACAGAGGGTTTTATTCCTAATGCAGAGAAAGAGACAGCTGATCAGAATGTATAGTTGGAGGAAAACAAACTCGCTCGTTGAATTTTGCCCTACAGATTAGTTTGTGCCAGCAAACTCTTGCTTCAAAAAGAAAGGAATGATAAAACATCAAACACTGGTTGGATCTGTTCCATACAAGGTATAAATATAACAGAGATGTATTACCTCAATGATGAAATGTGAAATGAGTACAAGCTATTGAAAAATTGCACCAGCTGCCAACAGCAGTTCACATCACCTCCTGGTTTTCTAATTTCTGTGGCCAAAGAAAGATAATGTGATCCTTGCAGTTACTAGACTGCAGTGTGAACAGCAATCCAGAGCAATGAAGAGCATATTTGAAAGAGAAATATTCGGAGTTAATAGTTGGAAACTTCACTAACATAGGAGGAGGAAAATCTGTCTACAGGGAAAGAAAAGTTAATTTTTCTTGGAGAATGAAAATATAGGAGAATCAAGGTCGTTTCAGGAGCAGTGGCTTATGTGTTTCTGAATAGAAAGGAGTATCTCAAGGGACTGAGGTGAAATGAGGTAAAGACAGTCTGAGGAATGTAGGATCAGGCCCTTTACTTGAAAATTATAATAGATAAAGGAAACATTTGCCCATGGTATTATATAAGAGCTTACTAGTAGTGAAGTACCTGTGTGACTGATTATGGGAAAATCACGGATGCCTTAGCTAGCAGGACAGTGTGTAGCTGGATTTATAAAAAAGCCTCCTGAGGTCAGGTTCTAGCTTCCACTGTAAATGCAGTTAGCTTGAATACCTAAGAAGGCAGTGCCTGATGCAGACTCCAAAGACGTCACTAATCTGTGCCAAATACATTTTAACAAGGCATATTGAGAATGCTCAGTTTCATAAGTCCATCAACACAGACTGGCATGATATAATTTAACCATGTCAGCAGAGGAACTATGATGCATTTAAAAACACAGCCATGAAACAAAAAAAATTGGTAGTATTTATGAAGGGAAATACAGGATAAAATGGCTTACAAGGGTAAACTTGATGACTCAGGACAGCCCATCTATTACTACTACATCTATTACTATTATTATGCTTTAGGAAATCTTACATTTTATGAAATATTATCTACATTTCTTTTAAGTCTAGATCTTTCCTTCAGTTCAGCTTATCCAAGTACCTTCCTTCTTTGTTTCCTAAAGAGAAAACAACACTCTCTCCCATGTTTACAGGCCCTCACATACCTCCAGTCAGGTGGTCACAGCTAGCCAGCTGTCCATTATCATAACAGCTACATTTCTGACAGTAGCCTCCATATTTTTGTGGATTTCCAAAATATCCTGGAGCACAGCTAGATAAAGAGATACAAGTAATTTGGATTAAATATTTGAAGCTACTTTTGTGAAACATACTTTCCCTTGAGAAAAAATCCCAGTTATTCTCCTGAAGAAACTTTCAAGAACTTTTAATTTCATGTCTTGACTTAAACAGAAAGGATATATTTTCGTTTTACAGTATCCTCTGTACTATGCTAAAAATATCTTCGTGAGTGCTGCAGAATTTTTTTCTAAAAATAACAGAACTCCCACAATACTCTTACAGGAATAATTCACTTAATCTGAAAAAATACAGTGCACACAGATACACACATACACAAGGAATTTGACAAGGCTTAACCCAGCAAACCATACCACTCTGGTCTGTGATCCCACCAGAAAACATGTAATAAGGAAGATCACAATGCAAGCACAGCTGAGATTTCAAACAGCAATGGCACTGAGTGAAACCATCACCCTTCTGGCTGGGTGATACCTCCTCTTGCCACTTGTCAGCAAAGCAGTCTGTATGCGTGACCTCTAAATATTTCACAGGTAAAATATATTGTCCAGACTGGCTAGCTAATACTCATAGAAGTCACTCTGTTTTAAGACCTATAAGGTTGGTAATGTGGGATCAAAGGGCTATAATGAGTAGCTGATGTACAGCTATATCTAGAAGAGAAAGTCTCTATAACCTGCAGATTAGATGTCTAAGGTAACAGTCTTGAAGCACAAGACAGTGTCCTACTGAGGTCCTGTCTACAGATGAGACATCATGACTTATTGGCTTCAAGTTTCCAAACCAGACAACACCATTCCATTACACTTAAGTTCTCCCTGGATTTGAAACTCAGTGAAATTGGTTCATCTGCCTGTCTCAAACTGCCATGTTGCTCCTCCTTGGCTTTGTCAAACTGCTGCAATGTTCCAGCAAAAGAGATGGCTTCAGCCTGGTGTGTGTATGCTCCAGCTGTGGATCACATCAGAATGATTTTAGATCAAGGGTATGGTGCTAAATGTTACATGGTTGCTGTTGGATAATTAAGACCACTGAAACACCATTGTGTACATTGAAGGAAACAGGACGATGTTTGTAACCTGAAAAGGGATGAAGGAAGTGGAAGTTGTTATTACCAGAGTGCAGGATAAGGCAAGGCATAGGGCACTTAAGCAAAGAGGCTGATACTTCTCTTTTTGGTAAAAATTGTGTAGTCACTAGTGTGTGGAGAATTGCTTACATTTCTTCAAGGAAGCATTGGGTTTATTACTGGAATTACACTAGAGCACCACTCTTTAGCAGCTCTCCATGTAAATAGCTACTCCTTAGGCATGTGCATACTACGTCCATATATATCACCCAATACAGACATATATTACCCAATATTACCATGTCCACATGTATTACCCAATACGGACAAACTTCCTTTTATGGTGCCTCTCAAAAACCTTAGTTTTTAGAAACAAGTCACCCACCGTTCACAACGAACTCCGGTATAACCTTCTTTGCAGAGACATTGAATTTCTTCACCATTTGCCACACAGCCAGTTGCAAATCTTTGAGAAGAAGAAAATATTATCGTTAGCACAATATTACCATCAAATAGGTTTTACACTCTTGAGGTTCAGTTTAATGACTTTCAGATTAAAAAGTATTTATACCACCAAAGTACTTCTCAGCTAATTTAATTGCCTCTAGATAATCTACTGTGACTAATTCTTTGAAGTTTCATATATTTTGTGTAAATTATTCCCTTAGACTAAAAAATAATCCTAACCTGACCCTGTGGACTGACTATTAATAGTGTACTACCCAAAGGAATGCCTAAAATAAACCTTAGTAGTGATGTCATAAAATAAAACAAGTCTGGGTAGCTATTTTATCTTAGTAGGCAAGAATAAATAGCCAGTGCTAGACAACATTTCCTCCTGTTTGTATAGCTTTTCTTTTCTTCCTTTTTAATGGATGACAACATTAGTGGATATTTTTACGTAGCTAATATTGTTTAGGGTATTTTTAACCAAGGCTGAGTAAAGCTGTGCAGCGTGTTTGGAATCTCTAGGGAATATCTGGTTAACACAATAAACATTTTTCTCTGCTCTTTCTAGCAGAATTATCTGGATTCAAATTTCACTTGGAGAGAAACCATTACTTTGTCCAATGTTCAGGAAAGAGAAGGCAGGAGATGAAGTGCGGCAGGCCACGTTTGCTATTTTCTTTTTTTAAACTATGAACAGTTGGATAAAGCAAGTCTGTGTATCAAAGACAAATGTCTGCACTAAGCATTGCATATAATTTGACTAGATGGAAGATTGCAACTCCAATAATGCCAGGTGGGGTGCATTTCCTATGTCAGGAATGAGATTCACTACCCTAATGTGCAGCTATGAAACTGCATAGGTTTATGGTCTCTCTAGGTATTTCAGCACTCTTAAAACATGTTTAGTCAGCTTCAGGCAAGAACCTGCAGAAGAGGCTGTCAAAACTAGATCTATCAGAGAGTTCTCTGATAAATGAAAAACCTGTCTATTGTCTGATAGTGTAAATCTCTTATTTAAGGTTACTTGGTGTTTGCTAATGCACCTGGCAAATATTATGTGGTGCCTTTAGCAATTTATAGCTTAATTTAAAAAAAAAATATTTGCCTTTATTTAACACATTTCAAAACTGACCAATGATGACAATGTGCCTAAACATACTGTGCATTTAAAATGCAATTTATTGCCCAATTTTAAAAGCCTGGCAAGCTCATTAGATCCAAGGAAGTTTCATTTTTTCAGCTTAGCATGTTTACACTTGCAACAGAGCTTCCACGGAAAGAGCAACCACACTCTTTCAGAGTTCTAGATACATGCGTAAGAGCTTGAATGTTTTTATATTATTTTTGCATCTTACTAATTTTTCTGAATTCATATAAAAGGCTTGTTTCACTGTTGTTACTTATCTCCTAGCCAGAGTAATAGTGTTAAACATCTTGCATTTCAGTAAACAAGAAAGATCCTGGATATGCCCAGTAAGGGAAAGGGCTTCCATCCCACATTTGTCATTATGAAGGAGTTACTCGTGGTTTTGTATGTAAGCCCACTATAACTACCTGGGGCTCCCCAAGGCTGTGAGCAGCGTGCCTCTGAAGCCCATCCAACGTCCCACTGAGCTGAGGGTGTACTCATAAAGTTAAAGTTCAGGGTCTGAGTGAGAATTAGAATGCTCAGCTTATTAAAAAAGGCAAAGCTGTGAGACAGACCACCAAGTTACTGCTGGTGTAATGTGTCTCAAATGAGTCTGATGCCACACTATGTTGGGCAATATGAGAACACAGAAGAAGATCATTATCTGCCTATGGCAGCAGAGTTTGGGCTTATGGTTTGGGGTTTTTCTCTCATTTTTTTTTCCCCTCCCCTCCTTGACTTCTTACAAGCTTTTACTGTACCTGTTTGTATAGGGGCAAGGACACATCCGGCAGGAACCCTGAGTGGCATCTCCAAAATAACCATCTTTACAGTGCTCACATTTCTCCCCAGCAGAATTATACTGACAGTTCTTGAAAAGGAAACAAGCAAGACAGTTCGCAGTGCTTTACCACTCAGTATGGCTTTACTATTATTTAAAAAAATACAGCTAATCTACTCAGAGGATATTTTCTTTCCCCTCCACATAATCAAGCATTTATTGCCATATTGCCTTCACAACCAGGACAGAGCAGTTTCAGTCAATTTTCTAACCACAGAAACCACAAGTTTCTCCCTATTGTGGAAAAGCAACTGATAAATAAGCCGAATTAAACATATTTTTAAGGAAATTCAATCAAGTGCCTGGTTAGTTAAGGAACATTCCATTAAAACACTCTCTATGTCCTGATATTCCAATTAAAAAAACCCACTACATTTAAATTTCGCATCTTAACACTAATTAGAAGGTAGATATAATTTAAAAGCATGGAATGAATTGAGCCCAAGTACATTCTTTAAAAAAATTAATTAAATTAATACAAAAATTGTTTCTCTTAATAGATTCAGATCAGAATTGAGTTTCATGTAGTTTCTCCAGTGCATGTGTTACTTGTTATCTGGGGTAACTGGAATAAATAATGAAATAATAAAATAATGAAATAATGAAAAGCAAAGACTAGAAATACAATTGAAACTGACACAATTGAGTTACTTTTTGCATGATAAAATTGTTGCAAATTACATTTTGTTTTAGAAACATTCTTAATTCTGGTGCTGTCTAATTGTCACACACTTATATTTTAGGGGGACAGAATAAGCAAGTTGCTTTTGCATTACCTAAAGTGATGCTAATTTAAAATAGAAGGCGTTCAAATACATAGGCGATATAAAAATACATAAGCAGCCATAAAAATTCCAAGTGACCAACACTCAAGAGGCATTCACACTCCCAAGTCCTACAGCTGTTTGTCTTCAGTGCACAACAGACTGATCCAATGTCCCACAGAGCTGAGGGTGTACTAAATAAAGCGAAAGATGGAAAAAAATAAAGTGGGAAATTGGCTGGAAGAGGTTACTGAGCAAATTACGCTTCCTTTTCAGGGACCTTGATAGCTCAGGGCTATGTTTTAATACCCTACTACCATGACTAGCAGTAGAGGGCCATTTTTCCCTGTGAATGAGAAATAGTTCTGTCTCTCCCATCTCCTCTTACACTCCATTCTCCTCCACATTTCTTCACACCCAGACTCCCTTAACCACATCAACAGCCCTTCCCTCAAACTCTGCAAGTAATAACCCCTAATTTGTTTTCATTTTGGTTAAAGAGCTAAATCTGTGGCTCAATTATGAAAGGTTCTGGGAACGAACAGGAAAAGCTCCAGTTAATATATGAGACATTTAACATGAAATTAAACAACAAGTAACACAAAGACACTATGTTTGCAAAAGGAATAATTTTAAAGTGCAGCCTCTATAAAAGTCGGTGCATATATTCCTGCAAAAACCTAATGGAAAATTCAGATTGTTTCTGAATAATTACTGTCAATTTTTATAATCCTGAAGAATAAATTTAACTGCAAAAAGAGTAAAAGAGATGTATTTAAAAATATATGTGTTGGTTTCAACTTGGAGCAACTTCCTCCCATCCCCTGAAGTTTATCTCCTGGCTTTTTGTTTTGCTCACTCTGTCTAAAGAAACTGAAGCAATTCTGTAATTGCAAAGAAAATGTAAGCTATTTCACACATAAGGCACTCTAAATGTGCCATGCTGCTCCTCTAGCTAAATGACATATAAGGGTTGGAGGTCCCAAGGCACAGTGGAATAAAGCCAGAGCAGCAGCTTCCTCATGGGTCCTCCTTCAAGTTTCACAGGGCCAGAGACAGCCCTGGAGTCACAGCATCTCCAAACCATCAAGTATTGCAAATCCTGAAAGGAAAACTCCCAAATGACTGTGTATGCACCCACATGGTATAAGGAAGTCAGAGTAGAGTGTGTCAGGACCACAACAGAAACACTGAGGTTATATGAAACACATGGGGTTACATGACATGAACCAACATGTCACAGGATGAGCAAGTCTCAGCAGCATGGTGCTGCTGAGGGAACATGCCTTCCAGGAGGATGAGCAGCGACCACAAGGATCACAAAGCCTGATTAATAGCAGAGAGCTGGCTTTTCTCTACACATAAGAACCAGCCTTTCAGTCTTCTCCACCTCCTCCTGCCTTCCATTCTCCCCTGCTTTCAGCAATGCAGCAGCACACTCCTCTCCTTCCACTGGTATGCAGCAGTGGGACAGTGATTGCCTGAGCTAGGGCACTGCTGCCACAGGGGAAGGAGCCAGTCTGGTCTTATCCTCCCTCACAAAGCCTTCTCTGGAGGCTGATCCTTGAAGGACACTGACATATGTAGGTACTGGGGCCTGGGGCTCCAGATGAGGAGCAGGAAGCCAAGTGAACAAGCTTTGCACTTAAGATGTGGAACTTGGCACTTCTCAATGGGAAGTTCCTTTTCTTCTCTGCCCCACATCAGGTCTTTGTCCCATGGCTCTTCTACAGAGACACAAACTTGCTCACTGTTAGGTGGAGGCTCATAATGGAAATACAGGCCCTCAGGACTTTCATTTTTCGCTGCATTATTCTGGATGACTTTGCTTGCCGTAAATCTTGTCCTTGGGCCAAGGGTTGATTTAGCTCTATCTGAAAGTTAATCCAGCCGTGAGAAAGAGGGGATAAAGAGAAATCTAAGTCACATACTTCATGAGGTGAAAGTAAAATTTGCCTTTATAATTCTAATCTGAAGTGAAACTTCCTCATCTTTCTTGCTCTGCTGCAGCACTTTCCTGTCACAGCCTGCCCTGCCCCTCCAAAGCAGCAGCCTGTAAGTCATCCCCCAGAATGTGCTGAATTGGTTTATGGTTTCCATCAAAGCAACATGGTTGGTTCAGACAAAGTTGGGGGAAATGACATAACGCACAGGAATGCACCGCAGGCAGAATAGATGCAGTGCAAACAAGGAAGAAGTAACAGAAAAGACAGACTGTGAAAGATGTTGGTATGGTTTTTGTTTACACAGTAAATGAAAAATTACTGAAAAGTTTTAAAGTGGGAATTTTTCAGAACAAAGTATTCAAAGAAGCATCATGGATATAAACTGGAGAAGTACAGTCAGCCAAATGTCACAATTCCATTGCTACAAGGGCTGATCCACTCCCATGAGGCTGCTTTGGGTTTAATACAGTGTGCCAGGGAGCAAAATCTGCCCCACTGCACCTTCTGTAACAGCTAAAAATTTCTATTTAATCTAGCTTTTATTATCTCATCTTACTTAGTTCAATATTTTTTAATCCATCTAGCTCTAGATTGAAGTTTGTGGAGATACACTGAAGCTGATTAAACAAGAGATTCTGCAAAGACTGTGCTATGTACAAAAGTCCCGTTTGTCGGCATTGGCAAATCTTAGTATATTTGTATAACACTAAGGACTGCATATGCCAGGATAAGACCCATGTTTATTAAAAATAACTACAAAAGCTTCCAAAAGTACTAATTTGGTGACTTTTTGTACCAGGAGCTAACAAAAATTATAGGGGAAAGGAAAAAACTGAAAACAAGGACACAAATTACTCCAATCACCCACAGTTATGTCAAATATACATTTAAGTGTATGCATCTTAGGCTCATTAACAGTACAAAATTTAGAGAATGAGGCATACAAGGATTATTTTTAGTTGCTTGGAATTTAACAATACTGCATAGTTCATACTGCTGTAAGATAAATGAGTTTTTCTCCTTTTCTTCCCATTAATTTCTTGAATTTTCGTAGTTACTCACAATACATTTTCCAGTACCATCTTGACATCTATTTGAATTTCCATTGCAGTTGCACGGCACACAGCGTCCAGCAAATAATCCTTTATTCTCACGATAAAATCCAAGGCCACATTCCTGGACAGTAAGCAGAGAGAAAAAAATTAGTGAGTGTAGGTGGAAAGAACACGTTATGGGAAGCGTATTTTGGAAATGTTTGCCATTTCCGAGGAGTAGTGAAGGAATCCATTTCTTTGCAAGCTCCTTTATTCTAAAGCAGCAAATAGCAATGAACGGAGATGGAGAAGTTTCAGCTGAACCCTGTTCTTTACACATTTTGGTAGTGATGATTTAATAATTTTCACTAACCTCTGAGCAAAACACGTTTCCTGTGGCTATGTACAAAAGTGTTGAATATGATTATTAAACCACAGAAAAACATCTGACTATGAGAATACTGTATGGTGAATGTTAGGAAGAACATATAGAAATGTCACATATTAACTAGTGGTTATATGAAATCTCAATATTTAATTTCACTATGATCTATTCCTTGGAAATAATTCTAGATATCTTTTACACACATTCATCATGACTTCCACAGTAAGTCTACCAAGAGCTACATAAAGCCATGCCTAGACACAGCTAGGTGATGTAACAAAATATACAGTGATCTAATTTCTAAGTACAGGCTTGCCCTGGAGACGAGGGAAGCATGAGAAGAATGTTTAGCTATTGAGAGCACAGGAGCAGAAGCACAGCCTGTCAGATCACAGTTGGATTTAAGCAGAGAGCTGAATCAGAGGGACATTATGAATGAAGCAAGAGACATCAGGTTTATCAGCCTACACCAGGAAGGTAGTAACTCATATGTTAAAACCAGGTTCTTGCTTGCCAAGGACAGGGAAAGCATAAGGAAGGAGTTCCTCCTGTGAGCATGAAGCCCTCCTGTACACAGACCCATTCAAAAATTCACACCCACCTTCTCTGCTCACATACTCCTGGCACAAGAACCACACCAAAAATGACTGGACATAAGTCTATCCCTTCCATTCCCTAGCTCCTTTTCACTAGAAACTAAGCTAGTGTGGTGCAAGGAAGATCAGAGGCTGTATGGAAGTGGGGAGAAAGCTGTACTCCCCACGAAGCCAGCACCTCCCAGGTTCCCGCCTCCGGGAATGTACTTCTGTGCTGTACCTACACTCACCCCTACCTCACAGTTAGGGGCTGGCCCCAACAACATGCAGAAAACAAGTGACGGTTGAACTTTAAAGCCATAAATCTTTTCTCACAATAATTGCACCACCAAGACTGATGGGACTAATCTGAAGAGCAAAGGGTTTGTGGGATGGTGTCACAAATCATGTTCCAGTGGTTCAAGGTGTAAGTATTTATGCAGAGGCAGGATTAACCTGAAAAGAATTTATCAATAGATAGAACTGCCAGAGGAAAAAAAGCTTCTCAGAAAGCAGATCCCAAAAGGAATAATGAGTTACTGCTGTTTAAGCAGCTGTTGCTAGTGGCACCTTTGCCTTGTCTACATATAAGATAAATGAAAAAAAAAAAGTATACAGAATATTAATACCATCAAAAACTTCAAATACTGACTTCAGTGTGAGCAAGGACTAAATTTAGAATAGACATTCGAAGTTTTTCAGATACATTTTTAAAAGGGTGAACATGTTTCCTGAACAACAGGGAGCCAATATACAAAGCTTCTGAAGAAATCAGGGCCTGGAATACATTAAACAGCACGACTAAGTAAAATATAGGCCCTAATACATATGAATTTTATTTACTTACAGTCTTTTTTTGGAGAGCAAAACGAACCATACCTTTTAAAAACATATCCAGATGCATTTGGAAAAATATCCGTGCAGCCTTTTGTTTTTCTGTTTATGCTGTCTTTAAAACGACACATTTGGAGTACATAGGCACTTTGTTTTTGAAGCAGCATTTGTGATTTCCACACAAATGATAAATTGATTCCATGTGAAGATAAAGCTCTTGCTTGGCACCTTCAAGTGCTTACATATTTAGGATCATTGTTTTCAAATAACAGCAATTTAAAAGAAACTCTTGCACACACTTTTGTTGGCAAAGTACTTCGAGACATAAGATTAGCCTTCTCATTACATTTATATTAGGTAATGCATAAGTTGTTACCAAATTAGTTAATTTAAAAACAAAGCAAAAGAAGGAAGCAAGTGAAAATGAGCAAATTACCTGTCTTGGGTAAAAATCCGTTTGAACTTGTTGCTGCTGACTCCTCTCCAGAAGGTGGGGATAGGAGAGCCTCTGTTGCATATCTTGTGTTAAACAATGCCCCAGGGACACTAACGTGACAACCAGCCACCCTACATTTCTTGGCCTCTGTGCTTGGGCCATCATTTTACTTTGGCCCCACTGCGGACATACGTTGCTATCCCTTCGGTGCTCACCCGTTCCTTCTCTTATACACTCCCTTCTTTTCTAGCTTCTGACTCAGATTAATGAGGCTCTGTGTTGTGATCGGCCCCACCTTCAAACTTTATAGGTGAGTCAAGTCGTACAGCACACATTACTGTTGCTGAGGTTAACAAGTAACCCTGCTGTTCCTGTAGCTCAATATATACCTAAGTCGGGGTGGGGCAGGCATCACCTCCTCCACACCTACGGCAGCCAGACAGAGCTGGGTGATTAGAGCAGTAAATCACCGCCTGAGTAATGCTGCATAAACGTACGGGGCTTACCAACCGCCCAGGTGAGTGTCTTGGTCACTTCCTTTGGCTTTGTATTTCCACCAGGTTACATTAAAAAAACCCAAACGCTTGGTTTATTAAGGCAGTATGTTGAAAGCAATGCAATGGCACTAGTAAGTTCAGTCAATGCTCATCAATTTGTGTGTGGTACAGAACACTAAATGTATGAAAAAATAAAAAATATTTCCAAAATGGTATTTGAGAGATGATGAATAGCTGCCCTGACCAGTGGATGCACAAATAAAATGTAAGCTAGACATACATATTTTTGATCAGTCTCTCTGCAGCTGCTCCAGTCTAGATATTATTCGTTCATTCTCATTTCAAAAAACTTTTGCAAGGTTAGTACAGCAATTGTTGCTTTATAGTAACCCTCAACCATTTTCTGAGAGTAATTTCTCATATTTTGTGCACTTCGCATACTGCTTACCTCTCCAGTACTTTATTCTGCTGCATTGGGTGCTTACACATGGCAACAGTCAAGCTCTAAGCTAAGCAAAAAGACAACCAAAAGAATTACAGCTACAGGAACAACATCAGGGACAGGATATACAGCTGTGGGTAGGATTTCACCAGTCTTCAGGTAACAGTATTACTTTGCAATGTTTACATTATCTTTCACAAAAATATCTCCACATTTTTTTTTTGCAAATATGTTAATTTCAGATTTCAAATATTTTCCTAGAAATATAGTAGAATTATCTAGGTTCATGCTACTTCCCTTGGACCCTGCTAAAATAAGGAACATCAGGAATCTTCTCCACCGTGTATGGTCTCACAAACTTTGATCAAGTCAATACTGACCTTCTCTCCATTAAGGTATGTATTGACTGAGATTATTCAGCCTCTCAGAGGGCACCACAGAAGAATCCATCATTATAGTGCCTTACACATGTAAAATTACATTCACAGCTCCACAAAAGCAATCACAAGTTGAATAACTCTACAGTGCTTCTTAGACAGCAAAAGCACTTGAGCCATTGAAAGTGCACAGGCTTACAAGAAGCACGTTTAATTACTTTAATAACTAGCCTGTTCCTCTAACGAACGCAGTATGTATAGCTGCAGGCAAGACAGAAGATAATGGTACTGTATGGAGGCAAACGTTTCCTACCTGACATGAGTCACCGGTGTACTCCGGAGGGCAGGAGCACGTCTCAACACTGTACGCAATGCTGCCGCTTCCTGCGCTGGTAGCTTCTTCCAGCCCAACCTCACCGAGCGTCAGCCGCTGAGTCTCCGTGAAGTAAAGGCCTCTGATGTGTAAGCCATCCAGTCTGGACAGGACTATCATCAGTTCCTCTCTGGATACAGGGTTATTGCTGCTGGCATGCCTGAAGTTTCCCTGTTCATTAAGGGTACAAAATGAGCACAGCCCTGCAGCTTCTTAAAAAGAGTATCTGCAAAGAAGACTGGAGGACAGGAAACAGGAGAAAAGACCCATGGAACAGACCCTTGCAGTGCCAATTGGGGTGGAGTGAAATAGGGGCCAGGAAAATAAACATAGAATGGGTGGAAAAAAGAATAGTGAGCATAAAAATGGATGTCGCCTTTACTTTGCAAGCTATGTATGTCTTTGAGGTATTGAGAAGTGAAGAAGCCTGTAGGTTCCTTTTCAGCCATCCAAATTTCTTTGAGATATCACCCTCCAAACCATAAAAGAATGGAGGAAAATGCTTTTACTTCTAAGGTAAGTGAAGTCTTAGAAATCCAATCTTTCACGGATGCCTTCACATGCTGTCTTGCTACTAATGGATGCAGCATTACTGAAAATGGAATCTGGCTTGAAGAAACATCTTTTTTTACCTACATATGAGAGAGAAATAAATAACCCAGTCTGATCTTCTGAGTACAGATTTAAGGTAGGAATAATCCCTGTTAAATTCACCTACCTGAATGTTGGACACTCATTCTAAACTAGGTAACTAGACACCAAGGAAAACAGATACCAGTTCATTCCATCCCTATTAAGTACAGTCTGAGGCTGCAATGAATCATCTTCCATTGATGACTGATTCAGTACTACTCCACTGGCCCCGGAGGGGAGTTCTAAGGGCTAAATTGGACAAGATGCCTAGCTCAGAGGTGCCAAATTTAGGTGGCATGAACCAGAACCTAGGTTCAATGTGGCAGTAAAGAGAGAGAAAAATGTTGTTCATATTTAAGGTCTACAGTATTTAGGTTTATATTCACTACCATTATCAAGTATTTGGTATTTCTGCACATATTACCTGTGTATTTATATTACCCGTGTATTTTTTATGTGCCACTGGGAAGAAAAGAGAAGGCCATTCCTTCTTCAGTTCCTACCTCAACCAGCTGCACACGCCCGTAATACTGACGATCAGGCAGTGGGTTGTTGGGATCCATATAAACAACTTCCATTTGATGGCTCTGTGTGAGAATGAGGATGTAACATTGCTGTTTCACTACTTGTTATGGTAAAGTGTTCAGATGCAATAAAATTTGGTGAAACACATTAACCCTGTTCTTTGGGAGATAAAAACTAAGTAATACCATTTTGTCAGCAAAGTGGTATAGTGAGCACTGTGTTCTAGTGTCAGCAAGGTTTTCACTGTTTTTGCCTTTTAACAACCTTGCTTTCAAGTAAAACATGAAGAGAATCAAATTAATGCTGTTCAATTTTCACAGGAAGTAGTTAGTACTTTTTATTAAAATGTTTTTACATTTTCAAACATTATCCTTTGCATCCTGGTGCACAAGAAACTATGGATATTACTGTAGCACTTTATGAGGCATGTTTCCCAGTAAGAATCCTAAAATTCTGAATTAATATTTCTGACAGTCTGAGAAAACAAGCCCACGCCCTCCTCCCCCCACCTTGCGAATTTCAACAAATAGTCAAAGATTTTAAATTTTGGCCACAAAGTGGTTAAATTTAAAAACTGTTAACCTCAAATGCATTTTTATTTCAGTCCCTTGAAGCCTTATAATTATGCTTAATTTTATGCTGAAGAAAATTCTCACAGAAAATGAGATTAATTACACATGGAATTCAGGGCATCTTTTGCAGAAACCAGGCCATACTTGTTGACAAGTGCGCAAGGCACTAATTAATTTTTTTTCCACAGGTGCCCTTTACAGAGAAAATCCTATTTCATCTTTTTATTTGCTCTCAAATCAATTATGCTTAATAACATGTTACTTTGGCAACAAAGACAGATGTGTTGATGGCTTTAAGCAAAATGCAGTAAAATCACTTTTACAGAAAAATAGCAAGTTGCTACTAAAGTTAAGTACACTATAGGAGCAAAATTTGCCATAGTTGTCAGGTAACACAAAAATCATGGCACTGGTGTTGCTTAAAACTAAAAATGGCATTTAAAAACTTACTGTTAGTCGTATATCAGGTCTCTTATCCAGAAGAACCATGCCCTCACTAGGTAAGCCAAAAGATTTCACTTGGTAACTTAGGAAGCCACCATATGAAGAAAGCTGTAGCATAATGCACAAGAACAGAGATATCTGACTGCACTGTTGCTTGATATTAATGTAACTTTGTATTCCAGTTAACCCCATCTTCCAGCACTGTAAATAAAATACTCTTTGTTTTTAGAAAAAATACAAAAATAGTCTTGCTTGCAAGAAATTACTTTCTATTTTGTTTACTGTGTGTATCTGAGGTAACTTTTTGAGCAGATACTATTCTCTGAAAGGTTACCTGCATCATAAGGGTTTTTTTCATACCTACGTTCACACCACGTGTGTCATGGAGAAATCACGTGTTCACATGAACATGGTTCTTCCCCTGATTGTGCAAAACAAATTTGGTGCATCAAGAGCAGACATCAGATTGATAATGAAAGTGGTAGTAAACCCCATGAACAGCCATAGACAAAAAAAAGTAAGGGTACAAATGTTTAAAGGTGGCTTTCATGGGCCAGCATTTTCCAAACTCTGCAAACATGAATGCAAGCAGGAAACCATTGCTCTAATTTCTGGAGGACAGGACTTCTACTGGTATCAGCTCTGTTGTAAGGAGGCCAGTGCTGTAGACTGAGCTGAAACCACACTTCTTTTGGCTCAACTTCAGGTGACCACAGGTGGCCTCAAACCCAACCAAATACATACAGTGCTGCCCAGAACAGACACAGGCAAGCATGTTTGAATCATCTGAGAAACAGCTTCCCTGGGTGGTGTATGAGCGACTCAGTACAGAACATACTGAAAAGAAAGGAAGCTCCAGGCACAGCCTGGATAGTTTTTGTTTCAAGACAAGCCTAGAAGGAAGGTTTGTGGGTACTAGGTGAAATCACGTGTTTTGGAATGGATACACAGTATTTTGTTTTGCACCCCTTGTCTTTTGCCCTTGTATCTTATGCTTGGTTTTGACATGCAGGAAGAACGACTTTGTTAGGTTTTGCTGTTCTACAGGTAAGCACCAGCCTTCAATCTACCCCTTTCATCAAATACTTTGATGAATTACAAACAAAATACTGACATCTCAATACCAAATTTGTTCCTTGGATCACAGGGATGTAATTAATGTCAATTGCATTTTCAAAAGCATCATTTGGAACTTGGCTGTATTTTGTCAACACAATCTAACCACCCTGTATAAATATTTTTTTTGAAAAAAACACGAGAGAATTAAAAATATGCAAAATTGCTTCTCAATGATTTTTTTTTTAATGGGAAAATACTGGTCTTATAAACTACTCTGTATTCCAGATATATGGTATTTATTTTCTAACATTAAGAGTCATCTATTAAACAGAATGTTAAAATACAAAAGAGCAGAAAGTGGGGACAATGTGATCTGAATTTCTCAATGACTGTTAGTTTCTGCACTGCTATAGAATTTGCATTTGATTCCCTTTTAACTTTTAAACAAAAGACATAGGAAAAAAAATACACTCTGCTAAATATAAGTGTTCCAGTGGAACTAGTTAAAAGGTTTAAGATAATGGAAAACAGGATTTATACCTCATCATACTGAAAAATGTCTGATGTGCTTTTGTTCACATTTTCTGAAAGAGATGCTATCACTAGAAGCAGACCAAAACTTGACATTTTCAAAACACAGTAACGTGAATAACTGGGAAATTTATGAGCCTGTAAACTAACAGCTAGATAGCATTTGGGGGGAACTTTCATTACTGCAGTATTGCCCGTGCTAAAATATACACTAACACACTGTGTATCATGAAAGCAGCACCCAAATTAGAACTATTTTATTTACAGGGTTGTCATTGCAAAGGAAAGAAAGTCATGGCAGGCCTAGGTAGACTGTGAAAGGTAACATAAAACTCATAGCACTGATCTTAATAGCTGTGTTTAAAAAGGGTTATTGCCTGCTTTATATCTTGTTATGAGAACAACAAAAGTCCTTTTGGTTCAACACTCTACATGATAATGTATGCTTTAACATGAAATTTCTTAAAAAAATTATTTGCAAGCATTCAAACAAGAACCTCTATAACATTAACAAAAAGCTCCCAAACTAAACATGCTGTTCAGCTGAGATACGGACCTCTGAGCATAGGAGAGTAGGATGAAAAACACTGCTCTAGTTTTTAAAATAAGGACTAAGAGGAACTTCAAAACTGTACCATCTTTAATGTTCTGGTGTCTATCCCATTTGTTTTCTCCTGTGTGTCAGTAGGATTACATCTGAAAAGCCTGTGTGTCCTATGACTGGCTAATAACTATCGACACTGTCAGAGTTCAAAATGAGGAGAACCTAAGCTCCAGGTCTGCAAGTCAGCATTATCAAAGTCCCCCTGGTCAGTGTGATCCTTGGGCTGAGATACTGATGGTAGTAACTGTGAGGAAAAGACTGCTCCCATGCATGAGTTGACAAAGCAGCAAGCAGTTCAAAGAACACAAAGGTTAGAAAACCAGTTGTTGCTCTTCCCAAGCAACATATCAAATGCAAAAGGTTGGGTCTTTTTGTGTGCCACTGAGCACATAATCACCTTTTATTCTTTTGGAAATCTGCCCAGGACATACTCTAAAGAATCTAAAGGATTGGCAAGCTCTACGTGTTCTGGGTTTCAGAGTGGGCACATTGGCAAGCTCTATGTGTTCTGGGTTTTGGAAAAGCAGCTGAAGGTACCAGCTCCCTGAACCACAGCTTCTGACCCTACTGTTCACATAAAGACCTCTCTGGCACTGAGCAACATGATTAATTCTGTGTAATTGGTTATAATTTTAACACTGTACTCAGAAGTAAAATGTTGTGATTCCTGGCATGACAGGTAAGAGAAACAAGAATCTTGTGAGAGAAGAAAGAGAAAAGTATCTAAGAAAAACAGACTTTTTATCAAAAATGCTGGCAAAAAAATTAATTCCTGTTATTAAAACAGATGAGTTAGGTGGCATTTACCTTCTCTCCCAGGTAAGACGGTGGTGCTTTCCAATACAAACTATGCACAGAAGCAGGCAATTCTTGAACATCAGCCACTACACTATTACTGACTGGATTGAAAGTGACTGGAATGTCAATATTTTCATCCACTGCCTCCAAGCGCCAGTTTCTCATGTCCACAAACTAATGAAAAATACATAAAGGAAATAAGCTTGTCTCATTCTTTATTAAACTTTACCAGCACCAAGTAATGAGAAGAAAATGTTTAGCCTCCATAATTCCCCTAACATGAAATGCAACCGCTTCAGAGTCAGGCTAAAGTCTTTGTGCAGTGGATGTTGCACGGACCTCAAAAGAGAGAATAAGTGGGACAGATGAGCCAAAGCTACTTGGGATGCAGGCATTTGGTTTGTCATTTGCAAACTAATTTCTGTCTCTGGTCACATGAAGACATACCCTTCTGGAGGTGACTAGGAATTGTGTACACAAATCCAAGGACATAATTTGGAGGTGCTTTTTAAAGTCCATTCCAAAATCAAACCCAGGACACTAACCTAAAAGACAGAGTTTGGGTTGGTCATGGTAGGTGCAAGGTACAAGGGAGGGGACATGGGATGATATTTCGGAGAGGCAGGCAATGTAGCCTAATATTCTGGCTCTTTAATGCACATTTTATTTTTATGGCTGTTGTTTCATAAAAGACCATGCATCCTGTTATTTATCATTAGAACAGGAGAAAGAGTCCATAATGAATATGTACCAGAACAATAATACAAAAAGATAAACTTGTTCCCTAAAACAATTTTTGGTGAGGACAAGTAATCATTAGAGAAAATTTTCCTAAAGTAAATGGAAGTTTGCTGCTGACTTCACTGAGGACAGATTTTTATCCTTTGCATGAAAACAGTAAAGAATCACAATCTGGATTGCATCTAGTCTATGTCTAAACCTTCACTAAACTCCTCATCCATGATTCTAGCTCTGCTTCTCTCTTTTTCTTTCTCTTGCATTGTTTCAAGAAGCTCTTGCTTTTTTTCAGTCATTAGCCATCTTACTGTTCATTTATGCTACTAAAAATCTATCTTCATTTCTCACACTTGATGTTCTGCCTCTTTTATAGGGAGGGAAGAAAGACAGTTTTTACAACCTGTAGAATCTGTCTCACATTTCTGAAGTTTAAAAATGTATCTGTGATATAGGCATGTAAAATGGCATGTGCTTATCAAAGCATCTTGAAGGAGACCATTGACTTTAATGATGACATGGAGTTTGAAGATACAGCAAGGAAGATAAAGGCCAGCTCAACTTCAGTCCAACTAGTGATTCGTAAACAAACAGGTAAAAAGGGCCATTTCTACCAAAAGGCACTTTCAGACTACATCTAGGTTTTAAGAAGGCTGCAGTAAATCCGAACTATTGCTTGGAGAATATTTCTTATCCTTAGAAATGTCTTTAAAGGAATAAATGTAGGTGCATGATAGAAAAGAAATAAACCTATTGGATACACCTTGGTTCTACGGCGATTCGTGCTGCGACAGTTGTTGGTTGCCCCAAAACAAAAGCAAGAGGTACATCCCCTGGGATTAGAAGGGTCCAGATAAAAGGATCCTGGTCGGCAAGTATCACATGCTGCACCTTCAACATTCTCCTGTTAAGGCATAGTTCAAAGAAATCTCAGTGCTTTCCTTTAGGTTTGGGTGAGGTACTTATTTAAATGTATGGAAACATGAATGAAAATGTGAGATTCTCTAGCTAGACCATATTCCAAATGCAAATAAAACTGTCTTGGAGACTATCTCATGAGCTGTCTTTCCAGTTTATAAAGTGAACCACAGAATAATAAATATTAGTCAGAGGCAGCTGGTAACTTCTCTGCCAAAAGCCTCCCACTGGCTTTTGCAACCCTACTATATAAAAGGTCACCTGTGAAAGTTCACATTTATCACATTTAATTATGCAGATCAGAACAAAAGAAGATTTCCTGGCTATAATGATGTGGTAAAATGTCAACTGACATAATATGGCTAAAAAAAGCATGGGACCTGGTTAACATCCAGAAGTCAAGATGCAGACAGATAAAACGGATATGTGCAGGGTACAGACGGCTTCAGTGAATCGATGGACACGTACTCTGCAGCTCTTTAACATCCTGCAAAACCTAAGACCATCTGTACAGCTGACAGATATTGTAAGTCATTAAAAAATGGCATCTAACGCTACCATCATAATGTGTGCACATGTTGCAAGGTGTTATATTTTTGTACAGCTGCATTTATTTATAATAAAACTTAATGATAAACTCACTTCATTCACCCCATTAAGTACAAAATAGTCACTGATTTGCAAATGAAGCTTGTGCGCGTAGAAGTAATTTGATTTATCTGACCTTGCAAAGACAAATTCCTGTCTGGGGATCGCAAACATCTGGTTCTGTTCCATCTCTGTTACAGCTACACGGCACACAGTTAGGGAAACCGTAAGTTCCAGGAGCACACTGATCACACTGACGTCCTTTTATTCCTGGTTTGCATCTTTATCAACAAACACAGGGAAGAGGAGGGAGTCAATAGAGGAGGCAGGAATGGAGCAAGGGAGGGAAGACTAAAACAACAGGCAGGTAGATCTTTTAAGTGATTGCATGGCTATGACACAACTTTATGACTTCCACAGACAAAAAGCAGCACATTAGTATTGCTCTCAGATTTTAATAGTATGACATTTGAAATGGCCCTGGAACCGCCTAGGAATGGATTTGATTTTGAAGGATAGAAATGCTCACAATAGAATTAGACTTCTGCAGCTATTCAGTGCTTGCAGTGGAGAACTACTCTCTCTGTACACCAAGGTGTAAAACACAGATGCTGAATATAGGTAAGCGGAGCTGGAACAAGATTTATGGCTGGAAAATGTGACTGGGCATTATTCAAGGCATGCATCTGCTAACAAAAAGGTGGAGAATCGTGGGCATATGATTAATTACAGACACTTCAACCTTCCACAAAGCTTGGGTTAGTTTACAACTGTTCAGAATGAATAAAATCCACTTTGCTCACAGTGAAGGCAGAACGTCTTGAATTTCCCATATCCCCTCCAAATACCTGAAAAGTACAGTGAAGGAAACCACTCATGCATTGTTTATAATGCACATAACTCAAACTTACTTGCATTGCCCATTGTTTTTTTCACATTCTGGGCTTGAAATATCAACGACTCCTCTTTCTGAGCAGTTGCAGCTCTCACAGCCAGCAAGGGGGTGGTAGCTGAAGTGATGTTTCTCGCACACTTCACATTTTGGTTTCACGGTTCGTGGAGGGCAAATGCATTTACCAGTCATGTCATCACATAGACGCTGCCCACAGTTGCATACTAGGTCAAAGAAAATGCTCTACAAATCAATCCCATCTCATCTTACAATGATCAACTCTTATTGGACTTGCATAAGAAACAAACACACACATTTATACAGAGAGAACATGACTCTTTTCTTCCACTAGTTTAAAGCTCAGGGCTATAGAAACCAACTATGTGACTGCAACAGTAGTTTCAAAGAACAAGTTTAGTGCTTGGCTCTTTTCCACTGACTGGTTGCTTAACTTCACCACATGCATTGCTGATCACTTGCCACAACTTACAAGGATTAAATGACAATAGTTTTGGTGTTAATGGTACCACTTTTATAGAGCAATATTTATAAACATCAAGTATAATATCTGGGAAGGCAGCTGAAGACTGTTGGTGTAATCTGTAGATCTGTTGATGTTATTAACATCAGAATATGAGGAATTAGGAATGCCGTGTCTCTGATTATCAATGGGAAAACCTGAAGGTACAAAATGGGATTAAACAATAATAACGTGGAAATGATTCAGCAGTAAGCGTAGAAAAAATCCACTTCACTCAATAGTGACAACGTGGATTTTAACCAGTTTATCTGTAAGCCTATTACACCTGATAAGACAACAAATGCAAAGGCACACTTCATTGTGAACGAGGTGTACTTTAAGGGAATGGGGTTACTTCTGCCTTAAACTGAAAGCTATGCTATAGTAAAGCCAAGATGGCTCAACCAGCCTCTCATAGGATTAAGGCCTACAAAGAAAAGCGAGGCTTTGGTGCATCTGCAGTAAATTCAGAGGATTAAATAAAAGGTCGTGTCAGGTGCTGAACAAGCCTGAGCATGTACTTACATTTGCAAAATGGGAATCCATAATAGCCGGTTTGGCATCGGCTGCACTGACGACCGATGACATTAGGCCTGCAAATACACTGTCCTCCCAGGGGGCTGCACGTAGGGCTCGTGGCACCTGCACTGTGGCAGCTACATGGCAGGGCTCCGTTGTTGTAGGAAGCCACTAGTGACCTTACAGAGTCCTTACAGAAGGCCGATGATCCCTCTGGGCTATTAGAATTGAAATATAAATCACGTAAGTTCTGGCACTTGGGAATTGTTATGAGAGTGCTTCACAGTGGTTCAGTAAATCAGGGCCCTGCCTTTAAAACAGTCTGGCATAAGGACAGCATCAGTACACATGCAAGAGTGTATTTTAATTAAATTAGTGGTGAACGGCTTTGAACTTGCAGGTAAGAAATTTTTTTCAAAGCAAGTGTGTGTATTAGTTATATCAGTTCAGACATGCCAAGCAAAACACCAAACACCAAAGATGGAAATACCAAAGACAGAAAGATGACATAGATTTTCCTCTTTTGTACTGTGAGCAATAAAGCTCTACCTTTGCATTGCATTTGCAATAGAAAGTCATGGAAAAATGACTCATGGAAGTTTAATGGGCCAGCATAAGCCATGAAAAGCATTTTAATGTAGCGCAATGACGGTGATTTTACACATCTCTTCAATACACAGTAAAAGTAATATTATTCCCAGCTTGTTGTCAATGTTCAGTTTTTAGAAAGTGATGCTTACTCAATGTAAAAACTGTTTCCTCCACATTGGCTGATAAAATCAAATGACTTGTCCACTGTCTTTTTGTCAAGTATTTTGTAACTGTAGGTGTCTGCTGGAACAACTAAGATATTTTCCTTAAAACAACAAGAAAGCTAAATTGTACATTTCAGAGAAAAACAAAAAGACACAAGCTAAGGTATTTAAATGTTGCTTCATTATACATTCTGGATTTTCTCAAAACCTGTATATTTTAACCAAAAAAAAATAGGAAAATACACTTCCCATGTTCCCCTCAAAGTTGTGATTCTACAAAGAGTGTAAAATAAAAACATTGTATAGTATCTTAAAAAATAAAAATAAAACCAAACCATTGCAAAAGATCCTAAAAATCTTAAACACAACATTAAAAAAATTAATATTGTTGGCTTTCATCTTTGCACCTATCTCTAAAGGAATGACGAAACTGAAAGTAGCATTTTCAAGTACATTTATGTAATAAACATACCAGAACCAGCATTTTTCCATCCGGTATCATCACTGTAACAGAGACTCTGGGTTCAGAAATATCAAGCTCAATCTGGTTTTCTGTGATCACCTGATCCCGACAGCCAGACATATGGGGGCAAAATGAAGCCTTGAAGGTACCTAGAAGGAAAAAAAAAAAGGGGTTATGTGGAAAGGTTTTGTTTGCAGGAGGCTACTGGAGTGGGTTCTATGAAAACCTGCCAAAAGCTTCCCCCGTTTCCAACAGCCAGTGCCAGTCAGATCCAAGGCAGATCCCCCACTGGCCAAGTGCAAGGCTCAGCATGATAGTACCTCTGGGATAACTTATTTAAGAAAGGGGAAAATAAACCTGCACAATGGCAACTACAGCCAGAGAGAGGAGTGAGAATATATGAGAGAAACAGCTCTGCAGACACCAAGGTCAGTGAAGAAGGTGGAGGAGGTGCTCCAGGTGCCAGAGCAGAGATTCCCCTGCAGCCCATGGTGAAGACAGATAGGTTCTCCCCCTGCAGTGCATGAAGGTCCACAGTGGAGCAGAGGTCCACCCACAGCCCAGGGAGGAACCCATGCAGGAGCAGGTGGATGCCCAAAGGAGGCTGTGATCCTGTGGGAAGCCTGCAGTGGAGCAGGCTCCTGGCAGACCTTGTGACCCTGTGCAAGGGACCCACGCTGGAGTAGTTAGTGAAGAACTGTAGCCAGTGGGAATGAGTCGTGTTGGAGAAGTTGGTGGAGTCTCTCATGGGAGGGACCCCACACTGAAGCGTGGGAAGAGGGTGAGGAGTCCTCCTCTGAGGAGGAAGGAACAGCAGAGGCAACACATGAGGAACTGACTGCAGCTCCCATTCCCTGTTCCCCTGCACCACTTGGGGTAAAAGTTAGAGAAAATTGGGAGTAAAGTTGAGCCTGGGAAGAACGGAGGGGTGGGGGGAAGGTGTTTGAAGATTTGGGTTTATTTCTCATTACCCTACTCTTATTTGATTGTTAATAAATTAAGATAATTTCCCCAAGTCGAGTCATTTTTGCCTATGATGGTAATTGGTGAATGGTCTCTCCCTGTCCTTATCTCCACCCACAAGCCTTTTGTTATATTTGCTGTCCCCTGTCCAGCTGAGGAGGGGAGTGATAGAGTGGCTTTCGTAGGCACCTCGTGTCCAGCCAGGGTCAACCCAGAGCAGCTCCATATGCCAAAATGCTGAGAAAGAAAAAGGGTTACATGAAATTCAGATACTTACCTGACCACACACGTCCTGCATCCACACGGACTTGCACAGGGAACACCGGGTGTACCGTCTGATAAAAATGTACCACAAATATGTATCTGCCCAAGCGGGGCACTCTGCCATTCAAGGTAATCTGGTTCTGGAGAAACAAGAACAGCTCTGATATTATATTTGTTTTGTGAAATATACTTGGGTTTATCAGCTGTGCTCAGTGCCATCTATCTGCAGTAAAAAGATGAGACTTAGCATCTCTCAGCAAGTAAATTATCTTGAAAGAACACGGCATTACAACTGCATGCTCTGTTTGCCTGCCAAGCACATCTAACATTCTTCTGCAGTCTGTGAGACTACTGCATAGTTTGGAAAGAAGCTGGATTTTTTTTTTCTTTCTGTATATTGCCTCTGTGGCTTATTCTGCCTGCAACATTTTGATCATATCACATCATTCAGTTTTGACTCTATTATACTGTTTCATCTATTTAACTTTACTAACAACATACTTTGTGATTTATGAAACAAAAGTTTTCAGAATATGAGATACCTGTAGTGGTGTCAAGGTGACTCCCTTAACTGAATCAGCAGGTAAAGGGGCACTGAGCGGATCATAGAGTACGTTCTTCTGTACTTTGGAAATTTCCCCATCTTTGAACGCGTCCAAAACCAAAGCTGCTGGCGGAGTTTCATAAACTGAGGAAATGCAAGTTGCACTAAACACAGAATTATAGTAATTATTCTTGGGGCCAGGAGAATTTCTTAAGCATCATAAGAGGAAGAGCTGTTGGCTCAGAAAAGTCAATATATTAGACTGTATTACAATTAATAATGCAATAATAACCCCTGTTCCTATTTGGATTCTATATAAATGATTGGAAAGTAACTGAAAACAAGAAATACAGATTTAACTTATAAACAGGTAAGTGTACATTAACTGACTTTATTCACTCAAAATTTCCCTAAGTTTAAGTCTCAATGAAAAGAGTTAAGGAAGAGGAAACTTCAGGAACCAGAAGTGTTAAAAATTAAATACATTTTAGTTAATTCAGTTAGTTACCTTCACCAGAATCTGTACTAATATTGAATTCTCAGTTCTACAAATATTT